TTCTCCCAACTGATTATTGTTCTTATTTACTTTCTTTTAAATAAGAGTGCATGCGCTCTTGCTATGATTTCATTTCACATTCAAATTACTTCTTTCTCTCACTATCTCAGCAAAGCAAATGTCCCTGGGCTCAAATCTAGCATAAATATCCCAGTTTAATTCTGTAGAGCATTCTAATTTTATAGTTGGGCAATACAGTTGAGATTTGCTTTCCCTGGTAATTCCACCTTTTCTGCAGGATTACCTGAAAAGTTGGTCAGATGGTTTTAACAGGGCTGAAGGTTTCCATAAATGACAACAATCAATCCACATCTTAACAAGATGTTGGTCAAAGTAATTTGTATTAGTCCACAGATGTAAGCCCCGCTGCCCAGCCAGATCCATTTTTGTATTATTCTGTGCACAATTCTGTGCTTGATTTAACCTGAACAGTTCTGTCAAACCCTGTATTATTCATGACATACATTTGTTTGGTCCCCTGCTTACTCCCTCAGTCCATTTGTACGCCAGGCACTGTCTGCTCTGTCCAATCCCTGTCCATGCTCCATGCACCAAGCCCTGCTGTTCACATGCCTGCTTGCCTGCTGACCGGCTGTGCCAGGCAAAGCCTCTCTGGAGTGCAGCAGCTGTGGAATATGTGCTCCTTCCTTGGGCCCCAGGTGCCTCCAAGCTGTGTGACAGCGGCTGCTCCGCAGTTCCAAGGTGAGGCCGGAGCCCTGTCCCGTCCTGTCCCCAAGACAAGCAAGCCAAGCCATTGAGCAAGGACACGAGTCCCTGTTCCAAGAAGCAGCACCCTGGGGGTCATTGGAGTTCACTGCTGCTTTTAGATCTGCTTAAGTGTAGGCTTTGGATGTGCTCCAGTGACATGACTGACTCTCATCCCTGCCCACCTTTCACTCCCCAAATTCTTTCACTTCCTTTGCTGGTCATTGAGTTCATCACAATCACTAAATACTGTGCCATCCTGCAGGGGTATATCTTTACTGGAATTCACAGCTTCTGGTGACACAATGTCATGTAAGAGTTGGTAGCATGAGATTTCTCTCTGTCTGGGGTCCTATCCTGGAGGTTCACCAAGGATGTATTTATTGGTCCATAGCCTTCCTGTTGCTTTTGAATAAAGCTGCAGTGAAACAGGGCTACAGAGTTTATTTTGGTACAGCCTGAAATTCAGGCCCAATACTTTTTCACTGAATGCTTGTTTATATATGAAGTGAAATACATTAAATTTCATGTTAATTTAGTAGAAAACTGAATTTTCTTATGTGTGAAAGTGAGAGAAAATTCTCTTCAGTTGCTGCAGCCATTGACATGGTTTTTTCTCAGCAAAAGGTATAATTCATTTGCAATAGTCAAAGGATAATTGGTCTTTGTAGAACTAGTTCTTGTGTTAATTAGTTGCTGTATTGAAAAGGTGACTAGTGGTTTAGGGTCTTGATTTTGTTACTCTGTGATTTACAAACCAGTTACCTGATTTCCTTTCGTTTCTGCAAGAGGATACCTTTTTAATGTTGAAAGACAACTAGCAAAACCACATAGTGGAATAATATAAATCCAGTATTAATTAATGCTGTTTCTCAGCAACATATTGGTTTCTAGGCTGAAGTACAAGAATTAGCAGTGGTCTAGTTTAATCATAGTTTAGGAGACCTGTTGCCAGTTTACATAAAGGAGAACAAATAGACCGCTGAACACCTGAAATATGTTTTTTTTCAAAACTAGGTTCTAATTAATACATTCAGGATTTAAAATAACGAGCAAGTTTGAACTTCACTACTGTCAACAAGCTGGGATTTGCTATTTTTTGTTTTCTTCAGAGGTGTATGGAAAACCCCCACTGGCTGTTGGTCTGAAAAGTGTAGCTGATCTATCATAGTCCTTTAACAATTCATCCATTCCGAGGCTGTTAAAAAGTGCTTATTTTTTATCAAACTCACGAGAGACAGTATGTCTACTTACATTTTTCCTTGAAAGCCCAAGAGCTTTTCAATCCAGAGAGAGAAATGTACAGAATCTGTATAAAGTAAGTAGAGAAAGTGCCCATTTTCTGACAGTAAATGTTTCTGCTCAAGTATTTGCACTGGATTATAATGAAGCTTTGGTTAAGCAGATTAAACAGACAAAAGCAGTGAAACTTCAAAGGCTAACCAAATGTGCTGAGGTTTTTATTTCCCCAGTCTGTAATGCCTGCTTTTGCCTTCCTCTCATTAGCACAGAAAAATAAGCCAGTAGAGCATAATGTGCAGTCCCTCTGTAGTCCTGTCTGTAGTCGCCTGCAGCGACTGATTCCTAACGGGGTTCTAGGGGTGAGTATGGAAGGTTTTTTCCAACCTAGCAGTAGATAATACATCTCCTATGAGAGGGCTTTTAAGAGCAACTACACAGCTGAGAGTTCAGCTGTTTGTAGAGCTCCTTTTAGATACCAAGATGCAAAAGCTTCTTTCCAAACACAGATGTTAAGTCTGTGACTTAATCCAATGGTTAATTAACTATTTTTATATGCTCAAACAGCAAAAGAAATTCTGTGCTTTGGTACGCTACAAGGAACAAGGTAAAGCAGTATTCACTGGCATGGTGTAACAATCCAAACTGATTTGATATTTCTAGGTTGCATTTTGCAGTATTCTCTACAGAACAGTTAAGTGTGCAGCATCTGTTACAGTTTTTAGTTTGAAGAGTGTTTCCTGCACTGTGGGATTGATTTGGGCTTTTGTGTTGCTTAGTCAAGGAGTTATCAAGGGCTACACAGAAGATGGAAGTTTTAATCAGGGGGGAAAAGTGAATATGTTTAGAATATATAAAATAATGAAACCAAATTAATTTAAAAATTAAATATATACAATTTTAAAAGTACAGAAATTATGTAAGCACTGTAACAGGTTCATGTTAAACTCATTTTATAATGTTATAGTCCATTAACTAATATGGTGAATATGAGAAGTAACAACACAGGATATAATTGTTAAACAGCAGTGAATTTGTACACTTTGTACATTTCTGTGGTTTTGGATTAATTCTGAAAAATTACTGTAATTGAAATCAGATGGACTGGTTTTGGATCTCTGAATATTTTGAACTGCCTGAATATCTGTGAAGTAGCAAAATCTCATTCTGAGCAGGTAAATGGCATTTCTTGGATTTAACTGTCCACCTCCACATACCACAGAGCCTCATGGATCTCACTGTCAGGGGTGTTTTTTCTGGATTTTTCTAGAACTGGACTCCAATGCTACAGAACAAAAGCATTTTCTAAGCTCCACTTCAAATAATACTATTGAGAAAATTTGTCATGTTGTAAAAGCCTTGCCAGAAGGTGTATGAAAAGAACCTTTTCAATAATTTTGGAAGAAAGTCTCTTTAGTTTCATTTAAAGAAAGAATCTGTGGAGACAAGACAGAAAACTGACCAAGTCACATGGGCTTTTGATATTAAATTTAATACTCTTTTCCTTCTTTTTTTGCTACATGACCAAGCGCTTTATGCTAAATGCCTGAGATATATGCCTTGTCATTCAGAAAGCAAGTAAAGTTGTAAGCTACAGGAAGTTTTATCTATGAGTTCTTGGTTCTTTCTCACTGTTGTGCTGTGAAGTCCCAAACAACTCCTTCTGAAATGACACGAGATGGTTCTGCCTTGGTAAATCAGCAAGATGAGAGTGAAGAACTGCAGGATCTCCCAGGCCACTGACTGCCCAGACTGCCTCAGAGGCACCTGAGAGAAGTGAATGTTCATGTACCTGAGCGATTGTGGACACCTTTTTCAAGAAGTAGAAGCTTGGTTTGGCAACTTCCTTGCAGTTTCTTGTGATTAGGGAACTTGAAGTAGTCCCCTATCATTTTAGACATAGGGGAGTAAATGAGGAAGCCAGGTGAGAAGTAACAAGTCAGCAAACAAGGGAGCTTCAGAGACAGCTCTTGCCTCACATGAGAAAGAAAGATGAGCTATGAAACCCTCTGTTCATCACACTGTAGCCTGTGCAGCACTCAGGGAGCTTGCCTTGTCTCGAAGCTGCTGACAGGCAAGCTGACAGGCATCTGCAGCTGACTTTCTTAACTCAAAATCAGTGAGATTTTTCGTTTTCTTTAGGAAAAGTCCCTTTCCTTTTTTTTTTAAGTCAGCCTGAAAGTTCTTGTGTCATTTTTAGCTTCTGTGTCTGCAAAAATTAATTTCACTTCCACAGCAGAAACTAAAGCAACATTTGCTTGCAACTTGAAAAAATAGTTTCATAATTCAAACTCAGAAGAGACAACTTTTATCAGCAAAGCAAAGGTATCAGTGTCATCAAATTGTGAGTGTTTTTTAACATTTTTTATTTCTATAAAATAAAAAGGCTCCTTTGAATTCACTTTTTAGAACTGGTTTGCAAGCAGAATAATAGGCCAACACACTTAGAAGGTCATTTTCTTCCTCCTGTTTCACAGATACCCAGAGTTTGTGTTTTTATTGTCACATGGTCTTTCAATTTAAAAATGCCTCCTTCTGAGGCATTGTACATCTTGCTCAGAGTAAGATGCCTTAGGAAAGACTGGAACTTGATTTACAACTGGAAAAAATTGTTTGAGAAGATAGTTAATTATGAAGGGAAAGTTACTGAGGAGCGCTTTCTGCATACAAAGAATGATACTAAAGTGTTTTTGGGAGTAAATACTACTATCTGCTTATTTCACAGTTTATGCTGATTTTCTGTCCTACATTGAGTCTATTTACTGTTCACTGCAGTAGGAAGGAGCAGGTGCATTTTTTGGTAGGCCTTGAAATTTCAAGGCCATCATCTTTCTACATAAGAGTTTTTACCCACGTCAAGGTTTGAATTTTATCCAAGTCACAGAAATTCACATCACCTCATGAGTAGTGGTGTTAATCACTTCATGTATCTGGTGTTTAAAAGTGATGTAATGAGTTCAGTAGCTGAAAATAGAAGGTGATTGTTACTGTATCTGCCACACAGAAATGTATCAGTATTTTTTTATTATTATTATTATTTTTTTCTCTCTTTTAAGGGTCAGAAGGCTTGGATAGAGAAGACCTTTTCTAAAAGAGAATGCATCTATATAATTGCCAACAACAAAGATGGTACCAGGTAACACTTGAAAATTTTGTTTCAACAGAAAAGCTTAATAACAGAAACTCAACTTGATTTGGGTTTGGACGTGCAAAACCAGTTTAGTCACTGCCCTTAAAGGGAGATGACAGGGGAACAAAAGCACAAGTCATGCTTGCACTCCACTCTGCACAGAGCCATGGGACATCACAGAGATGAGAAGGCTGGGAGCAGGAGAGGCAGTGAGCTGTTAGTTCCTAGCTTTGCAAACCATAATAGATTCTTACTGAATTCTGAAAGCAAGGGTGCAGTAATGTGGTGCCTTCCTTCACAATTGGTATGATATTGAATGACAATAGCAGACAAAGGGATTTGATTTCTTAGTCTAAATAGTAATATTAGTCCATGGGCTAGCTGCATATTGTGGTCCAGCTTGTGTGGATAACAGAAGAGTCAATGTCACATGTGAGCTGTCACCTATAAGTAAGAAACAGAGGGTCAGTGCTCCTGTTCTGCGTTCTTCCTCCTTGCCTGGCCTTTTACCTAGAACAGCTCTCCAGTGCATAACACAGGTGAAGTGAATTTTTTTATCTTTGCATGTCTAGCATATGTGTGTATGTGAGAGGTGTTTCTATGATTCATGTACAGCAAGGCTTGGGCAGTTGAAAATCTAATGTCTGCTGTATTTTTTTATTATTATTTTGAAGATACTATAACCAAAGTCACTTCAAATTTTAACCTCTAGGTGCTGCTGTGGCCAGCTCATTAACCAACATATTCCACCTCCTCCAAGTATAACAGCTAATAAAAATGAAGAAGAAACAAAGCAAGTGGAAGCTCAGCCAGAGAAATGGTCTGTCAGTAAACACACCCAAGCATACCCAACTGATGCCTATGGAAACCTGGAATTCCAGGGAGGAGGACATTCAAATAAGGCCATGGTAAGGGGCATAGGGTACTCTAAGGTATTTATTCATCTGGTGTTGAGCAGACTCTTGAATTTTCTTAGCAGTAAAAGTAACAGCAACTCAACTTGTGCAAAAATTCTCTTTGTTTTTCCTCTCTTCAGAAGAAATTCAAACTTAGATTTGTTTCTTTGTTTGAAAATTGTAAAACTCTCTCTTCAGGATACTGAAAGGCAAAGAGTAACCATTCTTTGCTCAGAAAATTTACAGAACGGGTTGTGTGATAACATTACACATTGCTCTTTGCAGTACATCCGTGTGTCGTATGACACTAAGCCAGATTCCCTGCTGCATCTCATGGTGAAAGACTGGCAGCTGGAACTGCCCAAACTCTTAATCTCTGTCCATGGAGGCCTCCAGAACTTTGAAATGCAACCAAAATTAAAGCAAGTGTTTGGAAAAGGTCTGATAAAGGCTGCCATGACCACAGGAGCTTGGATTTTCACTGGTGGTGTTAGTACAGGTAAGCATTTGCCATCACTTTTAGTTTACTTAAGAATTTAGTGATGACCATTCACTAATCTTCCCCACAGGTAGAAGATTTAAGCCTACATAAACAAGTCATTATCCACTAAACCAAAAAAGGAGCATTGTAATTGTTTGTGTCAATCTCCTACTCAGCCCAGACCATTTTCCTGGGTCAGTATTGATTTGCATTACTTAGTGTTTCCCCTGAAAACAAATTTCAGCCTTGGTTGCAGTAGCAAGGAATCTACCATTAGTTCTAATACACTTCTTTTGCTTGGTTATCCTTGTAGCTGAGAAGTTTTGTACTCCAAATTTGCCAGGTTTTACCTTTAGAGTGGTTTTTTTTGTACAAAGATCTTTTTATTACTAAAAGTGTATTTCCTGACGTCATGGTTTGTGTCCAATGAATAAAATACATTGGGATGGACAAGGGTACAGATTATGCTGTGGAAGTTAGAAACAGGGTAAGTCTTCCACAGACTTCACTGAATTCAGCACAATGAGGTAATGGGAATTACACACAACCATCACAAAATAAAACCATGGTTGTCTGCATTGCGTGTTCTACTATAAAGTGCCAGTATGAGTTTAGTAGTGAAAGCAACCCAGTACCTCTGTGAGAGGCAAGAAGAAAATTCTTTTGTTTAGTGATCAATCTAAAATGCTAAAAATGAATTAAATTAATTGTACCTATAGGTGTCATTCGTCATGTGGGAGATGCCTTGAAAGATCATTCTTCCAAATCCAGAGGACGAATATGTGCCATAGGAATTGCACCATGGGGCATTGTAGAAAACAAGGAGGATCTAATAGGAAAAGATGTAAGTGCTTTAGGAAACAGCTGTGTGAAAAATACATTGTTAATATTTCTGAAGTATTACTTTTTTAGCCATTCTAAAGCATGCCTAGGAGGTGAAATTGAACAATTTCTTGGAAAAACGTGTTGTTTAAGTATATCAGATTGTCATATATGAGCTCAAAGTAAATATGGAATTAGTGAGGTTTCCATTGCTTTCATTAGTAAAGACCTCTCTGTGGTGACAGTTTTGTGTCCTAAGTTCAGTGTGGCACACTGAGCCTTCTCTAAGGCTCAGTCACATAAGGGCCTTTAAGTGTGCAAGGCTGGTGTTTATTATAGGTGGGTACTGTGGAGTGGCATATGAATTACTAGGAACTCCAAATGAGAATGTATTTTCTAATGCACTAAGAGGATTATGTAACAGCACAGTGTGTGAGCAAGGAGAGCACAGTAATGAGCTTAGGGGAACATGAAGGGGAGTGCACAATCTAACTGTTATCCTCCAAAGAAAACAGTGCTGCCAGGAGTACAGATTCAGGGTATAAAAGCAAACTCCATTTCTGATTCTCCTCTAGTTTTGGTTATACAGGTTTCCTTGGTTTGTTTCCTCTCAGAAAAGACTCTGAATGTGCCTCTGTTGGGTGGTGTGGGGCATTTTCCCATTTGATTCTTAGTTCTAATCTAGGTGCATCTCTCCTCTTGACACACAGGTAACACGAGTTTACCAAACAATGTCAAACCCTCTAAGTAAGCTTTCTGTGCTCAACAGTTCCCACACCCACTTCATTCTGGCAGACAACGGCACATTAGGTAAATATGGAGCTGAAGTAAAGTTACGGCGTCAGTTGGAAAAACACATTTCCCTCCAGAAAATTAACACACGTAAGTACAAGTGGGGCAAACTGTAACTATAATGTCTTGAAGGGGAGGAAGGAGGGCTTGAAGTACTTGAAAGTTTGGAAAATAAAGGCCTCTTCCAGCTCTTTCCAGTGGAAATGTGATCAGGACTGTGTGACTGGACTAGAGCACGTGCTGTCTGATAAGTGGTGAAAGAGCCCACATCGAACCAGGCAGAAAAACCATGGAGTAAGGATTGCAAATGGATGAAAAAAAAATTGACAAATAATAGTGAGGAGAAGCTACAAATCAGTGAGAATTTAAGGAAAAGGAAATGCAAAGAATTTGTGCACTTCTAGGCTAGAATTCATAAGCATCAGTAAACACACAGAATGGGGGGATTTGTTACAGTTCCTGTTTACAGCAGTCCTGTGCAGCTTAGTGATTTCTGATTCTAAATGTTTACATGAGCATTTTATTTTCTTTTATATATGGATTTGTTTCATCTGAAATATGACACTCAAAATTCTTTGATCTTCCTGATAAATTTAGCAGTCATTTTGATTTTTAATGACAAGACAATTTCACCTTAATGCTTTCATATTTAGAGTTTTGTGGAGTTTTAAAATTTCTTCCAGTTAATATGGCCTCACTAAAATAATTTTCTAGAACTTTTCTTGTTGTTATTTTTAAAAAAATAGTTTAAAAGACATGTTTTCATTAGAATGTAAGAAAATTAATTTTAAAAGGTGAAATAAAAAATATATAAACTATTTAAAAATAACCCCACAACCCTAATTAAAAATGGTCAAAAATGTTAATAGTCTTCGAATTCACACATCAGTTAAGAGCTACTGAAAGATCAGCATCAGTTCTACCAGTTGCTTTTCTTATCTCTTACTGGTGCCCCTGTATGTGTAGACCTGTAAGAATAAGAGAAAAGAAACATCCAGGATGGCAATTACACTGAACTCCACAGAAGTTTCTTATAGGGTCTAAGTGCTCTTATGAGTAGAGCTAAAAATCAAGTAGAGTGCCAGGTAAAGCCAAAAGGTGGAATTAGAGATCAGCCTTGAGGTATCCTAATGTTCTGGGAAGTCTCAAAGTAGTGCCCTGTGCCTGTGGTGAAACAGCTCAGGAAAATGCTGCCCCTTGCCTTTGAGCATGGAGGCAGTGCCAGGTACTGCTCCTGCAGATGGAAACAGCTCAGCCTGCTTTTGTCATCTGTGTCTTCTGCAGAAGTGCTGCCAGAGCTGTAGGGTTGTAAAAGGGAGCATTGGCTTGGAAGATCAGAAATTCAGGGCCCAGAGACAAGATGTTCTCTATCATTCCTTTTAATACCACTGGGGCTTGGGGATGTCAACTCTGACTTAGGTAGTGTTTGATTATTTTTGTCATGAGAAGGGCGAAGTTTGGAATACATACAGAAACCTGTTCTGTGAAGGGCTGCAGTACACCTGCTAGTTAAAACATACAGGGAGTTGTTTTGTTTCTTCTTCATCACTCCAAGCACAGGCACCTCTTCAGGAAATCTCAGGAGGAATCACTAAAGATTTCATGGACACACAGGCCGACCCATGCTCTGCAACTGCTCCTTTTCAGAGCTGGGGTGTACTGACAGGAGGATGTCAGGAATTTTCTACTGTTACTGTGCATGGTGTTCCTGTTCTTCAGAGGGGAATCAAGGTTGAAAATATGAAGTCTTTCACGCATTCACAGCCAAACAAAAAAAAGTGCATCTTTATAAAGCGCTGGTCATTTCACAGATTAAGAACTGAATTCAAATGCTTATGATAGTGGAATTAGTCAGCATTCAGGTAATGTTTTGTCCTTCATTTCCCCAAGTTTCTTGTGACCAAGGCTACTGAGACCATGTGACCTGTGGGCTTCCCTTTGTCATCCTATGCCTGGAAATCACAGTGAGGCAGGGACAGCAAAGGGATGCTCAGCTGTCGTCTCTTCCATCGGCAAACCATTTCAGCCTCATGATAAAAATACTAATTTCATTTTTTTATCTTAGGAATAAGCATAGGTATTTCACCCTACTGAAGACTTCCCTTAGGTAACCAATGAAGAGGTAAAGCATCAAAGGCTGGGAGCCATCCAAGTAACAGTGAAGCTGATGAAGCAATAGGACAGTCATGTTAGCTGCTTTTTTCTGTACCTGATGTCTGTCGAGAGAGCAGCAAGCATCCACCAGCTCTGAGTGGATAAGTTATAAGTATGGAGCTGAGGCAAAAGCAAGGGCAAAGAGACATCTTACTTTTTTCCTTTTGGGCTTGGGGAACAGCATATGGACATTTTTTCTCACATTGGCCATGAAATGGCAATCATTTTTCCTAAGGGCTCTGGTTGAAGTGGTGCTCTAACGCAGAAATCACATCCACTTATCTCAGTTTCTTAAACTACGTTTCAATGACACTTCTTTCTTTTCTTGTTTCTGTTCTTCTGGTTTTTGCAGGACTGGGGCAAGGTGTTCCTGTAGTTGGGCTCATAGTGGAAGGAGGTCCCAATGTGATCTCCATTGTCTTGGAGTGTCTGCGGGAAGAACCCCCTCTCCCAGTTGTGATCTGTGATGGCAGTGGGCGAGCATCCGACATTCTGTCATTTGCGCACAAGTATTCTGAAGAGGGAGGGTAAGGTTTCAAGATCTTCACCAAAACTATGTAGGACTTATGCCTTGCTTTCATAGAGCTTCATTAAAAAAAAACCCTCAGGGACAAAACGCTGCAAACAGGCATTCTGCTGTCAGTCAGCTTTTGTTGCCTGTTTGGTCTTGGCCCTGAAGTTAAATAGTAGGAGTTGTTACCACTTTGAATGCATGTTCTGGTCCTTTGAAATGTGCCTGCTCTCAGTACAGCACACTGTTGTACAAGCTCCATCAGGGCTTGCTGGTGCTGGGTTGGGCATGGGAGAAGCAAGGACAAGTTCCCAGAACTAACTATTTTCTTCAGGCCAGGGCTGAGGTTAATTAGTGCATGGATTTGCAAAATTTGTACTGCCTGATTCTGCTGTGTTGTGTGAATGAACTTCCTTGTCCAAAAGTGCCAGACCAGCTGTGAAAATTTTGGGCTTCCTTCATTATCTACCTTCTGCCTTCCAGGCAAACACCTCATATATTGTCTTAATTAGGGTATGGCATACCTGCCTAGTACTGAAGATAGAACCTATTTCCTTGTCTGAAGTTGAAGCTTAGCTTGGATTAAGTATTAAGCAGACAAGTAGTGATGCTAGCAGTGTGGATGTTACTTGCTGAATTAGGAGAGCGGTTCTTATGCTGGATTTTGCTGGTGTTTAGACATAGCACATACCTAATTGCACCAAAAGTATTTATGATGCAACTGTCTTTTCTGTCTAACAAGCTTCCTTAGTTTAAATCAAACTTGGCTTGATTTTTTTTTCCTTATTCATTCTTCCTATCAGCTCATGGGTAATTGAAAAAGCTTATCAGGATAAGTCTCTCTGAGATGTGCTCACTGCATGGCTTTCCCTCCATGGCTTTCCCTCTCAGTGCATATGATGCAGTGTCCAATTTTCTTCTCCAATAATTATGATAAATGTGGTTGTCTAGTAAGGCAGATCTATAATAAGAATTTTTTGTCAGTCCAATCATTTTCTCACTGTGAACTTTGAATTTTACTGCATCTCTCAGGCACCTGCTGGTAATGTTTGCCATTATCTGAAAATACATGTGTTGTATTGGGAAATGGATGAAGATGGAAGGGCTGTTTCACATTGCTTTGGGAGATCAAATATTTCTGACCTTTCTAAATTTTTTTTCAATGAATTATCTCTTGGATTGTTCATTTGTTTCTTATTTGGGTATTATGGTATCATCATTTTCAAATGATTTGCAAGTTCAGTCCTCTGTTTAAGACCATAACCAAGGTGACATATCAGAAATGTGAAGTATTTTGGGGTTTTTAGCTATATGCAAAGGGACTTGGAACATTTAGAAGCAAAGGTAGGGATCCTGTAAGGCCTAACAATAAAATCCTGAAGACTGAACTTGTTAACAGAAGTACATCTATGATATATTATAGGAATACCTGGATGTTATAGTTTCGTAAACAGCAGGCCTTCTGAATATATATTCATTCTGGTAATGTCTTGTTTTATGTCTCATTTTTCATTTAGGATAATAAACGAATCCCTTAGGGATCAGCTTCTAGTTACCATCCAGAAAACCTTTAACTACAACAGGAATCAAGCTCATCAGCTGTTCGTCATTCTTATGGAGTGCATGAAAAAAAAAGAACTTGTAAGTATCCTAAAAGTAGTTCACGAAGGTAATTTTTGTGACCAAACTTCATGAAGTACTTTCAAGTGCCATTTTCCCAGGGTTATAGTTTAAACTTGTTTTCCCTCATATAGCTGCATTAAATGTACACATTCATTCATAAGCATAGGCCAACCAGGGATTATATCTTCTGGAAAGCCCCAAAAACAAATTTCAGATTCTTCTCCTGTGTAAATGGATAAGAATCTTTTTCCACAGACTTCAGCAAGGCAGAGCAAGACACCAAGAGAAATGCACTAAACCCAGGATCCAATGCCAAAAGTGGAGGAAAGATAATTGAAGAAAGGGTTCCTAGGAGCAAAAAGCATTCAGAGTGCATCAACACAGCTTTTTGTTTTCTGACACATTTACTCTTTAACAGCCTTTCATTCCAGGAAAAGAGACTTGGCAGGCCTGTCAAAAGAAGCTGAAACATTGTGCTCCTGAAGATCCCACCCTTTCTTGCTCCTGGTTTGCTGCAGGTCTGCTCTATGTGCTGTACCACTCACTCAGGTTCCTGCCTATCTCCTGCATCCAAACTGCACAGAAAAGTGTGCTCAGGAAAGAAAATCTTTGCCATTCACATCTGTGGTCTGGAAGCAGTGTATTGAAACTGCATTTCCTGTGTCTTTGCAGGCAGAATGAATCCCTGAGTGTTTGCCTTTGAGTAATTGTTTCAGTGAATTTTTGTAAATATGATGCCGAGTTCCGTACATAACCTTTGCTGGATGTAAAGTTGATAGTAAACATGACTCTTGATGAGTCTCTCTGACTGAAAGAGAATCAGCCTTCCTAAAAAATTGGTTGAGAAAAGAGAGCCCACAGCTGCCTTAGTCAGACTGTTTTGAATTTAAAATGTGCATCAGAGCACATCTGGTTTACTCAGCAAAATTCAGACACTGGCTGTGCAGCCTAAGCAGACTTACGGTTATGGTTTTCTGTTGATAGTTTTCTCTGTTCTTGTTAATTAGTAATATTTTTTCTGTAGTTCTTTTTTTTCTATTGTCATGTATCTTTGCATTCCTGCAAAATATATTCTAACCGTTGAGAAAATTGCTATTCTCAGTAGCTAATATGAATAGCTGCTTTTGGAAAATGAAGAATTTGGTTTTGGTTTTTTTTGTCTGCATTTGGTATTAAGTTTGTTAACATAGCATATTTGGTTATTCTACTTCTGAATTATTAGTCTTCTAATATGTAGTTAAATGGCTAAGCTGTACATTAATTACTATTTTTAAGATTATTGAATTGCAGTGGACTGAACTAAGCAAATGTGACTATAATAATTGCTTTTTTTACTTAGTTCTGCCTATTTGATTGTCATATGTAACACATCCCGCAGCTAAAAAGTATTTGAGTGTTATCATCAATAAAAGGGATGCTGTGATAATTATCTTGGGTAACTAGCATTTCCTTTTCCATTCTACTGGGAAGTAATAGAACCATCAGAAAACAATCAGTTTTGCATGGCAGTTTTGTCACTGCTTTTTAGAATTCATGGGTTTGGTGAAGATTTTTCATCTAGTTTGTCATGTTCATCAATGCAGGGATATTTTAGGATAACTTCACTGAAAGAATTTAATTAAAAACTTCTGTGAAAATTATATTTCCAAGAAAAATTTAGTGGAACTGCACTTTTTGAAAAATCATAAATTGTAGGAAATAATAAAGCTGCACCATTCTGCTCTATTTTCTATCCACATAGTTAGTGTCTTTCCTGTGCTGTAATTTTGTGTGTTTGGTTTTGTGCTGCCCTTTAGATCACCGTGTTCCGCATGGGCTCGGAAGGGCAGCATGACATTGAGATGTCCATCCTAACTGCTCTCCTCAAAGGTGGGTTTTCCAGGCATTCAGGAAGGATGCACAACAGCATCCCAAGAGGACGTTCCTATGCACTGTCTGGCATTCACTCTTCATGTTCAAGTCTTTGATTTCTTCACTTGGATTCTAACAAGTACCTGGACGTGTTTGGTTCATGTTCAGATTAACATGAAGTTTAAAATTTAGATTGAAAGTTTTGTGTGGTTTTCCTCCCCTGTAAGTGTGGGATGGGAGTGCTGCAACAACTGTACTGCTGATATTGCAGCTCATTTTACTGCAGTTCTAGCATACATTCATAAAGTTAGAAAAAAATGAGAAGATGAAAGGTTGTCTGGATTTTCCAGGTCTCAGATTGTGCCATTTAAACCTTAGAGCAATAGGATTGGTTCCTTATTTATTTGTTATATTTGCTGAAACAACTGTTTTCTGTCTGTGGGTATACAGCAGTTGATACAGTCTCTTTATGGGATCTCTGGAGTCCCCAAAGCTAATTAAGAGCTAATCCCCAAAGGAATTAAGAGGGGGAATTTTTACACTTTTAGGTACAGTATCAGCCAGAGGAGCTGTGAGGGGTCTTTTAGTAGAGTTAAATATCTGTCTTTAGCATCAGAATAAAAGTCAATGTGGAAGCTTTTTTTAATAAAAGGGAGATAATCTCATTAATCCTTTGGAAATTAGTATTATGGGGTTAAATGGAAGATGCTATAAATTGATTGGATGAATCCACTGCTTTGTGTCAGAATTATTCTAATGGTAGTATGATATGGAGCCAGACTTGCTGTTTTCTAGTTATTGCAGGAGATTTTTCAGTCTTGTTTCATCATGTGTGAAATATGAAAAATCTGTGTGTTTCTCTTTAGGTACCAATGCATCTGCTCCAGATCAGCTCAGCCTGGCTTTGGCCTGGAATCGTGTAGACATTGCACGCAGCCAAATCTTTGTCTTTGGACACCACTGGCCAGTAAGGCAAATTTTCTTTGTCATTTTGTTTGTATGTAGTTTAAATTAAGTTGCATAATATTTACACCTTGGATTTTGGTGCTTCACTAGCAGCAATGGTGAAACACTGCAGTTCACCTATGTTAACTAAAATCCTTTATTTAAACTATTTTCATGTCTCACTGTATTGATGCTTTTTGCTTTACTGTGTGAACCATCTGATAGTGAATTACTCCAAAGTGTCATGAGGAGAGCAGCCTGAAGGCTGTAAGATTGAAGGGGAAAGAACTTTGATGGTGTTTTTGCTTAGTTGAAACTTGAGTTGAAACTTAGTTGAAACTGTGCAATAAAATGACACTCAAAGAAATACCATTTATGTGCATGGTGTGCATAATGGAGAGACTTATTTCATTGGATGGAATGTCCCAATCTCCCTGTTATTGTGGTTAGATTCAGAGATTCCACTAAGAAGTGAAGCCTGTTATTGTTTTGGCCTGGTTAATACTTCTGCACTGCAGGTTGTGGAAGCAGTACCAGCCAGTTGGGATTCACTGTCATTCTAGGTTCACAGAGATTGCTTTCAGACCAGCCTGTGCTGCCACTTGGCAATTGCAATTTAGTCCAGGCTTTTGAATGGATTTGTGGTAACTGGGCAGAGGAGAGTTTTTAGGACTAATAAAAGCCCAGGAAAGAAGCCTTGTTAAAGGCTTGATCCTGTAGTTGTCAGTGCAGGGCACAGGTAGTTACAATGCAGTTTTCTTCTCCGTGGGGTTTATGTAATCTAAGCATTACCTGGAGCAAGGTTAAGCCTCCAAATCACAGACAAGTAGTGTGGTGTATGTGTGCCTCTTCCCTGGGCAGATAGGTTGGGAGAAGGACTTTAGCTGAAGAATAAATGTATCTTGAGAAGTATAAACAGAAATACTCTCTGCAGAGCAGAAATGAAACAGTGAGTGGCTCTCTGTCCTCTCCTCTCTGCTCTGCAGTATGGATGCTATTTGGCATCATGCAGCATTCTTATTAAGAATTCTTTCTGTCCAGCTCTTGTTATTTATTTTGACAACTATTGCTTTCAGAGAGAGCAAAGGAACTGAAGTGTCCCAGTCTTCTCACGCTAATTTTATTTTTTGAGAGTAATCCTCCCCAGTCAATCTCCTTCACTGCTTTGACTTTCAGTGTTATTGTTAGACATAACAGCTTTTTAAAAAGGGTAAAGCTGTTACTATGCAGAAAAGACCCTTAAACTTAGAGAAATTATCATTTTAAATTGACTCAATGTGAGAAGTGGTGACTGGAGGGTGAGCTTGGTAGAATTGCACTCAAATAGTTATTGTAAGATCAATTATATTTCTAATACTTTAATGTATTATAAATACAGCCTTTAGGAAGCCTTACAGCTCCTGATGGTACAGCTCCTGAGAAGGAAAAGAAATCTCCAGCACCTCAGACTAAAGCAGGCAGAGGGAAAGGAAAAGGGAAGAAAAAGGGAGGAAAAGCAAAAGAAGAACCAGAAGAAGAAACAGACCCAAGAAAACTTGAACTCCTGAACTGGGTGAGATGAAAGTGTTTGTATAAAAAACTGCTAAAGATTTTTTTTCATTCTGAGGTACAAAAACAGAAGGAAGATACACATTCATTCTGTAGAATGCTCTTTTGTACATTCCCACTAGATCAGCTGTAGATTCTGCAGGATTGCTGTTTAGTGTTTGAGCCAAGCATCCCTTCCTCATCTCATGTGCACCACATGCAGCCTTATCTCAACAGTACAAGTCAATACTGAGCTGCAGCATCTTCTTCTCTGCACTTGTCAGAAGGAAATAAGACCACCAGCGAACATCTTCTTTCTGTGTTAGTTTAACTTGTTCCTATCATGCTGAGCAAGTAAATCCCCTTTTTCACATAATGTGTCAAGCATGGTATGCCTGGCTTAGTTAAAAATACTGAACAGAATGATTGAAAGCTACATGATGAAAGACTGAAAGCTACATTTGTATTGCTAAAGATTTAGGAAACTGCTATCTCTATTCACTTCATGTGGTTAAAATGTTATTTTCTAAATTCCTTTTTACTTACAGACTAATCAACATATGTGGGAACTCAATCCATAACCTAAGTAGTGAAAATGGCTGTGGTTGCTACCCAGCCAAATAATTTGTACTCATGTGGTGTCACATTCTCCACCCTGCAATTCAGGTGAACTCCCTGGAGCAGGCTATGCTGGATGCACTGGTCCTGGATCGAGTGGACTTCGTGAAACTGCTTATTGAGAATGGAGTGAACATGCAACACTTCCTGACTATTCCTCGACTGGAGGAACTTTATAATACTGTGAGTGAGCAGAAATACTAAAAAGCCCTGTGATATTTTGCCACTGTATTGTATGTGACTTGAATCACCACAGAAAGGTTTATAAAATAGGGATGTTGCTCTTGATAGACAGGTGTTTGTCACTGTAGCCCAGTTCCATCTTCTCACACCTCTGGGGTGAGATGGCACGTGTTTGTTGTCTGAAGTTCTGCTTAAGGTGCCAGATCACTAACTGTCTTTGTGTTTGCAAAATATCTGAAGAACTGAAGCTCTAATGGACCATGAATTATTTTTGTTTCAGAGGCTGGGTCCGCCAAATACACTTCATTTGCTAGTCAGAGATGTGAAAAAGGTAAGCAGTGTTTCATTTGTGTGATTGCATTAGCCATGTGAATCAACAGTAAAAGCAAGCATAGCATGGGGCCAAGCAGGCATTTGAAATTGGCAGCTGTTAAGAAAAGTTAAATGTCTCTCTGTGGCAAACAATGACATCAGTCTAAATCGGGTATGGTAGCAATAGTAATTTTAAAACTAAGGAGTTAATTAAATTAAGCTCCTATAGTGTAATATGGCATTTGAGATTTAGGTTGATAGTGTTTCTTCTCTACAAGAGGCTCCCAATGCAGCATTACAGGGGAGGAGTGGAAGGAAAGGCCTGCTAGGTTAACTGGAAGCTCCAGTCATGACTACAGAATTTGTTGCCTTTTGTTTGTTTCTTTGTGTGTTTTCCAGTTACTTTTCTCCCACTAGTTCAACTTTTACCTGGGAGAAAATCTCTTCTGTCCTAAATTTCTTATTCATTTGTTTCCATGACGTGAAAATTTGTTCATTATATGTCAATAGGCAGGGTCATTGTGAGATTTGATGTATTTTCTCTCTTAGAGGTTTTGAAGCTTTTATTCAGTAAAATTCAGCTACATGAAATTGCCTGTATTCATTTCTGCAAGAAAAACCCCAGTTATTCCAGGGAGGTTCAAATGTGGGGATTATGCAGTACTGTGTTAATGTATAATTCATATTCATCTGCTTCACAGTTTAACACTTTTCTCATTCAGTGCTGTCACTATGAGTGTCACTAATGTTCCTCTGTGTTCTGTGTCTGTCTCTCCTCTATTCCATTGCATTTCCATGCTCCCTCCCTCAGCGGCAATCCAGGGGATTCAGTTGGGTTAATCTGGAGGTGATGTGCTTCCTTAGACTGTAGTTGTTCCATCATAGCAGCTGCTCAGTGGTGCTGTACAATCAGTCATTGCTGTAGGATGTAGCTTGGACAATGAAGCACTGGTTTTTTTTCCAGTGAAGTCAATACAATTATCCAGTTTTAGCTGTAACTGCTGAAATTAGAGTTTGCTTTGATTCTGGGCTGCACATTAGTTATGGTCTGCATTTAGTCTCAACATAGATAATATGATGAAATACAAGTTTCCATTAAAAAAGTATGTAAAGTATGATTATCAGGGATATTCACAACAAAATTGTCATGCTTTTATACTGGATTAATGGTAATCAGTACAGAGTTTCTTAAGTTCATTACTATAACTCTTGTAAACAACATAAAGTTGTATGGACACTGATATATGAGTAAATCAAATGAAAATTTGTTCAGAAATATGAATTCTGCTAACGACAAAACCAAAAATCTATGACACAAAATTTTTCACTATGTGAATAAGTTCATTTCATACAAAAGACTGAACCCAGTGGCTGTAAATAATATCAATGTGCCAATTTAATTGTGACGTATGTCTTGCCAGTAAATTTAATCTACAATATGTTTTCTTATCCTAAGTCCTTATTAAGTTGTGGGGTTTTTTTTTTTTGTAGGGAAATCTTCCACCAGATTATCATATCAGCCTAATTGATATTGGTCTTGTCCTGGAATATCTCATGGGTGGAGCTTACCGCTGCAACTATACTCGGAAAAGTTTTCGGACTCTTTATAATAATTTATTTGGACCAAAGAGGGTAAGAATGAGTTCATTCTGGATGCAGCCATTGTGCTGATGGCAAAAAATCTGTTCCTTTGTTTTTGTGAAACACTTCATATCAAATTCTTCATGTTAACTTCATATTAAATTCTAAAGAAATGCAAGGTAGAGGTTGAAACTCCAAGAGTGAAGTTATGTACGAAAGTTTTAAGACATCTGTGTTTAAGGATGTGAGGACATGAGACATGGTGAATACACTGACCTGGAGGTGAATTTCCTCCTATTCCAGTAGTTTACAATCCAGATATTCCTAACTGTGGTATGCTTAGAAGCACTTTTTTTTTTTTTTGAGCTTTTGTGACCATGCGGTCATTTTAATTCTCAAAGGATTATTTATCAAAAGATTCATTTAACTCTTGTCTGAACTAAAATATTTCCTTTGAGTGCAGGATATATATTTCCTAACCCATTGCATTCCTGCTAATACAATTTAAATTAAGAATAACTAATTGCAGCATTATTGGTACAATTATTTAGGACAGCAAGTTTCATAATAAATGCTGTACATTTGCAAATGAAAATGGGTTTGTTTAGTATTGTTTGGTCTTTCATATTTTCCTCCCATCTAACTGATTTTATTTCTACTTTTTAATATTCAGCCAAAAGCTCTTAAACTACTGGGGATGGAGGTAAGTGGATTTATTTAAAATACTGGTTTTATCAAAACATTTCTTGGTACAGTTCTGTTCTTACTCTTAAGAGTAAGAACAGAACTTAGCTTTTTCATTATTGCTGTGATTTACAGAAAATTTCAACTAGACAGGACATTCCATTTTGCAAACATAGTATTAAATGCTTCTGACCTTTTTTTTTTAAGGGTTACATCTTTCAAACTTCCTAAAGCTCTGCTTAATGGTTTTCAGGCATATTTTTTAGCACTATTATGTAATAACATGCTTCATAGTGGAAGATACTGTAGATTTAATTTTTCATGTGTACACATTAACAACATTGAAAAGAGAATATAATCCAGCAGTGCTACTTATGTCAAAATCTCCTTTAACCACAAAATAACAATTTCCGTGCTTAATGATGTTTTACCATAGAGAAAACATTTAACTTGAGTGAAAACCAAGCTGGTAAGGTGCTGCCCTCCACCATAAAACATCCTTACTACTGTGATGGCACCACATTTTGTGAACAGTGATGCTGATCCAGAATTTTGGGTCCAGCCCCTACCTCAATTGCTTGTGTACCTGTAGAAATGTGTAATTAACCAGAAACAAATCTGGGATGAGACCTGAAAACTCTGTTTTAAAGGTAGTTGCTTTTGTTTCTGAAAAAAGAAATATCACTATAGACCAGGAAAGCACTGACACCAAGAGGCAGGTGCATTTCTCTAGGAAGTGGGATTTTACTAATGCTGTGATAGTGCTCAAGCACAACAAGTGCTCATGCTGCTTGTGTTACAGATGATGTGAACCATACCCACACACAAATGCCCCTCTTTTCCCAGGCAGATAAACAGCCCCTTTCTCAGCTGAGAAATCTGTAGAGAACCTCTGAAAGAGGTTGTGTTTAATCTATCTGATCAGCTTTCTATTTTCTGCTGGATCAAGGCCAAAAGCTCAGCCCCTCAGAGCTGTGACTCTTTGATTAGCATCGATCACAGTGCTTCTCCAAAAGAACATTTTGATCTTCCTGTTTCTTTCAGTGAGAAATGTTTCATGTGGCACAAACTGAAGTGTTCTTTCCACTTGACAGCAGGTAGAGCCTGCTCCTTCTTCCAAGAGAAAGAAAAAGTTCAAAGAGCATTTACATTTCTTTTACTGAAGTGATCAATAAATTGCTGTGACTCTGTGTGGTTAGGTTTTTTCATTTCCAGTGTTAGCAGCTCTAAAACAGGAAGGTTAGACTCCTCAGCACTTTCTATCTGACACAGGGTTTTGTTTTTATTTGATTTTTCTAGGGTGTAGAGGACCTAATTTTTTGTCCTTCGTTTGAGATTTTATGTCCTCTGCTTCAGAGATAGTAAATACGTTGTGCAAGTGATGACCTCTGAATTTTCCATAGAAGACAGAGGTCACCACTTGCAGTTCTTAAAACTGCTGAAGGAGAAGTTCATGCTCAGTTGCTGAGCTGAGGAGTCATCTTTGGAAATTATGTGGGAGGCTGAACTCTGAATTTGGATTTAATTCACATTTTGTTGAAAAATAGTGCATTATGCTGAGCTTGCTTGAACAAGAACTGATTTTGTAGAATAGCAATTTCTTTTACTTGCAATCTACTTCTGAGATTGGACTAGGTCTCCAATGATGATGAGCTCTGTCTACACTTATATATGCAATGTTCTTCCTACATTTTTTAAACCCTAATTTTCCCAATCATGGCTTTTCTCCCTTCAGGATCCTGCTTCATTGTCACTACTTCCCTTCAGTTACTTCCATGTTGGTTCCTGTAGTAATGGCCTATCCTCTTGGTTCCTGTAGTAATGGCCTATCCTCCCTTTCCCTTTAAGAAATGGGACACTTAATACCTTCCATGTGCACTGCATACATAAGAGGAGATTGCTTATTCCAAGGTGAAGATTCCCTTTGGTATCTTGCTGTTCTTGAGGGTGCTGTGTGCCTGTCTTTGCCTTTTGCATGTTGCCATGGCCTGCATGTCAATCAGAAAAGTGCTCTGGTACCTGGAAGATGTGCAGCACTGCTCTGCAGGGATAGACACAGAGATATGGAATTGGAAATGGCAGTGGAGCCTATCTGTAGGGAATTCAGCTTTGTTAGAGTTCCACTGACACTGCAGAGGAATTCATTAAGCCGTAATTTGTTACAAACCAGCCTATGCAATTCCATGTGCAGTAGAGATCTGCAGTTCACACTGCAATTCCAATGCAGTGTGAAGAGATGCCTTCAGTATCAAGGGATTCTACTGCACTTTTCCAAGATGGGTGACTTATAATTACGTGTACAAGAAACAGCACCCTGAATAAAATCTGTGTGTTCTTGCCCAGTGCATGCTCTGTCCTATTTCATGCATGATAGCGAACAACAAAACCAAATTAGAACTTCGAGTATTAATGTGTCCTCTCAGTACTTGTTCCTTGCATGGTGCTGTTGTCAGGTGAGCTGTTAAAAGCTGATGGGAACAATTTTTCTTCCCAGGATGATGAGCCTCCCACCAAAGGGAAGAAGAAAAAGAAAAAAAAGGAGGAAGAGATTGATATTGATGTGGATGACCCAGAAGTGAGCCGCTTTCAGTACCCCTTTCATGAGCTGATGGTGTGGGCTGTGCTCATGAAACGGCAGAAGATGGCCCTGTTCCTTTGGCAACGAGGGGAGGAATCCATGGCCAAGGCACTTGTGGCTTGTAAACTCTACAAGTCTATGGCCCATGAATCTTCAGAGAGTGAGCTGGTGGATGACATCTCTCAGGATCTGGACAACAACTCAAAGTTAGTAGATGCAGAGCAGATTTTATAGCTACTTGCTAGAAGCTTGCTGAGAAATTTTACTTTTTAGTTCACTACAATTCATTTCTAAATGTACTTTCACAGAATGCCATTTTGGAGCAAATTTAGCAACTACAGACAAGGCAAATTGTGGTCTCAGGATCTTAATACAACACTAGGCAAGGAGAAGACTTGCATTTTTTACGACAGAATGCATTCTTTCATCAGCTTCTCTCTGTAAAACTAGTTTTATTCCACAAAGTTATTTTCAGAATTTACTCCTGCAAATTTAGGAGTATGTGATGATATATCTAAACTGCCTTGAAGATGTTCTTGGTCTAAGCAAATTCCCTCTGTTCACTAACAGTTTGTTTGGAACTTTTGTAGACTGTCCCAAATCAAGCTTGAGATTAGTTGTTCTTGTCACTATACATGTGTGGCTAAACGTGATGCCCAGTGAACAGCTAAAACCCCAAAGGAGGCTGATTTCAGTGAAGTCAAGCTTCACTGATCTTATTTTGTATCTTCCAGAGATTTTGGCCAGCTGGCTGTTGAACTCTTGGATCAGTCCTATAAGCATGATGAGCAGATTGCCATGAAACTGCTGACATATGAACTGAAAAACTGGAGTAATTCTACCTGCCTGAAGTTGGCTGTGGCAGCTAAACACAGGGACTTCATTGCTCACACCTGCAGCCAGATGCTCCTAACAGACATGTGGATGGGGCGACTGCGCATGCGGAAAAACCCTGGCCTTAAGGTATTTCTGTTCTGCATTACTTCCAAACAGAGTTTGTTGGATGGAGCACTTTGTTATACATAGTGTTTGTATAGCAAAAATTGCAGGGTATTTGTGGAGATGGGAGGCTTTTCAGGGTGCCATATTTCATGCAGTACCTTATTGCTAATGCTTCTTAAGTACTTTCTCATTTATATAGGCTTGAGGATGGCAGAATATCTTGAATACTATTTAAAGGAAAATTTTGGGCTGGGACCTACCTTGTTACAAAACTCATAATATAAACAAATACTGAGTTGAGTTCTTTCTTGTTTACAGGTTATAATGGGAATTCTTTTCCCTCCCACCATCCTTTTCCTAGAGTATCGGAGTTATGATGACTATTCCTACCAGACATCAAAAGAAAATGAGGAAGGAAAAGAAAAAGAGGAGGAAAATGCGGTCAGTAATGGAAATTATTAGAAAGTTCTAATATCTCAGGACTACTCATTTTTCTGACTTCTCTGATTATGCTGTAGCTCACTCAGGTTAAAATCTCAACTGCTTCTGGGGGGTAAAATCAGTGAAGAATTATGGGAGCATGTAGACTGGATTCTCAGGGCACAGGAAGTGCCTGTGTAGTTCCACAGATTTATAGAATTCTGTTTATATACTTTTAAGAAGAGGTCTGTTGCTCAGGGGAATCCCTGCACAGTTAACAGTTGGCTGGGGCCGTGGTTGAGGAAAACTACTATTTTTACTGCTGTGTATCGATAAAATCTGACAACTTTGGTCTTCCAGGATGCAAATGCGGATACAGGCTCCCGAAAGGGGGATGAAGAGAATGGAAAGAAAAAACAACAGAGCCTTCCAATTGGAACAAAGATCTATGAATTCTATAATGCTCCTATTGTCAAATTTTGGTTCTACACAGTAAGTCATGATGATTAAACTGATAGTGATCGTTGGTCTCACACCTGTGAAGTGCAAAGGATTCTAATGTAAAAGTAATGACCATGTAATAAATAAATTTTTTACTGACTTATGTGAAATCTGATGAGTAAAGCACTCTCTTTATTCAGAGGAAAATGCACAGACAGTGCAGAATGAATAACTGAAGCTTACATTGTCACCCTCTAAAGCTCCTATGTGCTGTGAAGGAGGCTCTGTGTGGAATATACGAAACTAAGTGCAAGCACCATAATCCAGTCACTCAGTCCAAGCTAGGCTGATTCTTCTGCTTTCTAAAGGACCTGGCTCCTGTTGTGCATTGAGATATCCTTCAGGACCCAAGAAGTAACCCCATAGTATCACTGCCATTTGCTCAGATGGGTGCAGCCTAGATGGGAGCACAGATCCTAGTCTGCTAAGACTTCGTAGGAACTTTTATTAAAACAATTAAAACCAAACTAAACTAAAATACTTACTTTTGACAAACATCTAATTTTCTGTTTATTGTATCAAGAATTATCTGATGTTAAACTATTATAATAGAACATCTATTCATTTTATGTGTGCCCTGTAAAAGAGATACTCATTTCTTATGTGTTCAAGTTTAGGATGCGTGATACCTGATAGGTCATAGTAATATGTATATTTTTAGTTTTAGCACATTTTAATCACAAAAAAACTACATTGATCCCTTTCTGCCACCTGAGTTAATAATTTAAAAATTAAATTCCTATTTAATTTCAAAGAAAAGTAGTCAACAGGGTTTTACAGTGCAAAGAAATTTTAGTAGACTAAAAAAGCCCCAGACATAAAGGGTCTGGTTTAGAGTGCTTTAGAATTGCTGTTTTCCTTCTTTCAACAAATGAGATAATTCAGCTGTCTCGATCATATATTCCACAGCCTCTGTGATTCCTTTAGCTGCTGGAGGCCTGTGGCTGTGCCAGTGTGGAGGGCTTTGCAGCAGGCCTGCTTCCTGCAGAGAAGGAAATATTTTTTCTTGTGCAAGTAAGGGTCTTCAGCAGCTGAATATTTCACACTTAGCCTCAACACAAGGTTCATATGAATGTCCTAATTAGCAAAGTTATTAGGGAACTGAGTAAAAGGGATCTTTGCTTTCATGAATTATCAGGCCCCTCAGCTAAGAGGATTTGACTGCCTTCTGCCTGATGTTTCTTCTCTGGTGATGCAGCCTTCTCTGCTCTTACTGAATTAGACTTCAGCAAGAAACTTGCTCCTGAGACTGGGAGCTACTTACGGTAATCAAAACACCTGCAAACTGTCCATGTAGATGGGTTTAAGTAACAAGTGTAGGAAGAGGAACTGATAAATGAAGCTTCAGCTGAAAAGTATATTCTGCCCAGATGGACTCAGCCACATCGTTTACAGTGGAGAAAGCAAGTGAGCTGTATGGCTCTTTATTTTCCCTACCCCTTCCAGGCAGGTGCTGCTCACAGCTTTACTCTCTGTTCTGCCTTAAGACGGTGGGTAAACATTTCACACTGAAAATTCCATTCTTTAAAAAACTTCATTTTCTCCCTGAAATATCTTTCGGTTTGTTACTGTTTTGCTTACAGGATTTTTTTCCCTGCAAAGTCATTGAATCCTTTTTGATTTCTTAGCTTTGGATTTCCAAGGTCTCAGAATTTTTTAGTTTGGCTGGTCACCAAAGGCTGCTTTGCAGCTTGGAGACACCATCATCACCAGTTTGACATTTACACACGTGGTTATAGAAACCTGAGTAGCTCTTTTGGCTTACACTAATAATCCAAGACTTTGTAATGGAAATCAGTGGAGACTCGGGTTGTTTTGTGTGCGTGTGTGTGTGTAAGCCATCTCAAGTAATTGAATACTGCCTAATTTGGAATGATCCTAGGATACATCATCTAGAGTCCATAAAGGATTTTCCTCTTTTTTGGCAGATATCATACCTTGGCTACTTGATGTTATTTAATTACATCATCTTGGTGCGGATGGAACGGTGGCCATCAGTCCAGGAATGGATTGTCATCTCATACATTGTGACATTGGCCTTGGAGAAAGTCAGAGAGGTGAAGTCTGACCATACCAACAACCATAAGCTTGTAGTGGCATGGACTTGTGTACAGGGTTGAGAGGCACACAGGAGAGAGAAGAGTCTCATATTCTGAGATATACTAATAACTAAAAGTATTCTTGCTTGAAACAAATTTTGCTAACAGTGGAGGGGGGCCTCAGATACCTGTTGAATATGACAAGATTGGGTTTTTTTCACCACCATTACTTCAAAAATGTAACTTGAAGCTTTTGCTAATTGTTTCTTTGTTGTATGTTCGTTCGTTCGTTTGTTTTTTTATTTCAGATTCTGATGTCAGAGCCTGGCAAGCTGAGCCAAAAAATCAAAGTTTGGCTCCAGGAATACTGGAATATTACTGACTTGGTGGCTATTTCAGTATTTATCATAGGAGCAATTCTTCGCCTGCAGAACCAGCCTTACATGGGTTATGGAAGAGTGATTTACTGCGTAGATATCATTTTCTGGTACATTAGAGTACTAGATATCTTTGGTGTGAACAAATATCTGGGACCTTACGTCATGATGATTGGAAAGATGGTTAGTGCCTAAATTGCTATAAATTATGTCTTTAAGAACTTTGGGGGAAATTAAATTCCATTCTGCTTTAAAAAGAGTTTTTCTATTAAGTAGGACTGAATACAGCCTGTGAAAAGTTGCCATATCAATTTCACACTCACACAAGGTATTATATTCATGCAATAACAGATTGCAGATACACCAGGATCATCCAGAAAACCATCAGCTGTGCACAGGAGATGGTATAGCAATGATTATATCATGTCTTTGCAACCACAGACGAGGTCTGTGCTGAAACCACAGCATACAACATTTGTTGCAAAGGGGAACAGGGATAGCAAAGATTTTAGCATTTTAAGTATTTTTAAATATAATCTGTATTCCTTTAAGTAACTCATTTTGCTGCATTTGTATGTATGCTTAATAGCTGAGTAGCACTTAAAGAATAGTCATCATGCTTGTGGTTCTGATGAGCTTTGGAGTAGCTCGCCAGGCTATCCTGCACCCAGACGAGGAGCCCTCCTGGAGACTGGCTCGCAACATCTTCTACATGCCCTACTGGATGATCTACGGAGAGGTGTTCGCTGACCAGATAGACCGTAAGAGTAGAATTCATAGTAAGAGTCTGTTTCCTGTTTCTGAGGCAGATGATCAGATCCAAATTAAAGACTGCTTTTAATTTGGAAGTAGTGTTTTTGCTTTATGATGATATTGTTCTTGTTTTCTTGTGGCAGACGATTTTCTGTTCCCCACCTGCATGTCTGCTCTCTTGGTTTTTTCAGATTCAGTTACCCCAGAAAGTGATGTAGTCCAGAATGTTCTCCTGTCCAAGAGTGTAGCAATGTAAACTGTTCTGTTTACTTGCAGGGATCAACAGACACTGTTCTGAAATGTTCATTCAAAGGCTTACTAAGAGTCAGTTCTAACAGAAGAAGAAAAGAAATAAATCCCTTGCACAGGAGGTTGAAATACACATATCCTTTCATCTCCAACTCACAAGAATGAGCTCATGCATTTTTACTCCCAGTCATACATCTGTCTGCTTTCAGAAATGATTTCATTTCATGAATCACTCATGTTGTTCTTTTCTACACCTATGGGAAAACAAAACAAAAAAGAAAACTCAACTTGATTAACTTTGGATGTGGAAATCGCCTTTCTTACAGGAAACCTGCGCACTTTTAAAAAATAGCTGCTAGTATTTTCAAGGAGATGTAAGATGTCCTCTTACTGCTAATTTTGTGTTAATATTTGAAATTTGTAGGACAGTCCAATGTGCCGCTGGCCTCCTCTAGTGTGTATCATGCAGTTTGCACTTTATCTGAAATAATACAAGCTGCTGTTTCAGCTTTGTGTATGTGTCACTTCAGTCACCTGCATATACTGACAGGTAGGGAAAGTGGAGGGCCAAAGAACCTGAAGGTCTAAGTTCAAAAACCATTAAGATACATCACCATGAGAAGTTTCTATTCTAAATGTCATTAAAGTGTGCTTTAACTGTTTAGAAAGGAATAAAGTGTCATTCGTCTGTTTCTGAACAGTGTACAATCAGATCAACTTTGTTTTCCTAGTGAATGCTTGTTTCATTAATGTAACTTAGGGTACAGTAAGTTACCCTCGACAAGTGAAGGGTCAAACCAGTCATCTGCTGTCTGATACTGCAGTTTTGGTGCACATGAGAGATCCTGAGCTTATCCTGGTTCACAAGTGGGACAATTCTCCTGTGGAGAGGAAGTGACTGTAATGGGCTATCCCTTATCTCACTATGTGCATTCAAATCCTACTTCAGTTTGAACAAAGAATGTTTGCCAGTATAAAGAGTTTGATTTCTTTATAAATCAAAACACATAACCTTGCCAGCCATCTCTGTAGCATAAGAGGTGTCCCAGGCTTCTGTCATGTTCCACTCATTTCTCAGTCATATACTCAGGATATGTGGGATTAGAAATCGTTCTTCAGATGTTCAGAAGATTTGGGGGACAAAAGGTTTGGTCTTTCTTTTTTGGTTGTACTAGTTCAGCTATTTGGTCCTTTGCAGGTCAGAAGTTTTCCTGTGTCAGTAGCCTAAGCATAAACTAACTTGGAAATTTGTGGGTTTGTGTTGTTTTAATATTAAAATGATTGTTCTCTGTACACCACCAAAACAGCCTCTGGAATCAAGAGTAATGGCTATGGGCACTCTAATATGACTCTTGACTCAAGTGCTAATGGCTGGTTTTGGCAAGGCCCAGGGGTGTAAATAATTTTCCCTCTGAAAGAAGAAAGTTGGACTTTGTCAATAGCTTCTGTGAGGATAGGTTGTCATCTGGAGATCACAAGTCACAGAATTTGCTGGGCTTGGAAGGCATCTTTGGAGATCATCGTTGAACTTTCTTGCTCAAAACAGAGTAAATTAGATTTATCCCAGATTGCTTAGGGGCTGTCCAGTCATGTTTACAGTATCTTGAAGGATGAAGACTTTGCAGCCTCTCTGGACAACCCAGTTTAAATGGAATTTCCCATCTTTCCACCTTTGCCTGTGGAGGCCCAGGGGTCATGCCGCAACCCTGGGGGGGCAAAGGCAAATGGGGAGAGATGCCGCTCTAGAAAAGGCATCCGTCCCATGTGCCTTCTCTAGAAAAGGCATCCGTCCCATGTGCCTTTGCAGTCATGTTAATGTCTCATTAAGTCTGTTCCCTCATTGGTTTGTCAGTTATGTCACCCCAGTGCAGCCCCTATTGACCATTTATGTACCCTTTCCAGAATGTTCTTCCCTCCCTCAATCCCTTCCCTCTCTCACTGGCTTGTTTTTCCCACAGTGTACTCCACCCCTGTTGTCCTGTTGGTTCTCCCAACCCTAAGCTACTCGCTTGTACCTCTTTCCTTTATCACTATTGGCCCTTGACCCTCAGAGTTGTCCCTTTTGCCCATTTAACCCTGAGCCCTCAGACCAACTCTTGTTCTCGTCCCTGAACCTATTCAAGGGTGTGTTCAATAAAGCAGTTGTTGGTCACCAAACGAGAACCCATCCCTTCGTGTTAAATCCTCAGCATTTTCTATGGTGTGCTTCGGGTTCAGAGACACAGGTCACTCTCTGGGATCTTGTTGCAGCACATGCTGTAACATTTGCTCACTGCCCACTGCTGCTTCTTTCACTGAGAGGAGTCTGTCCCTGTGTTTTTTTCTCCCACACATCATCAGGTATTTACAACATTGGTAAGATCTCCTTCACCTTCTGCAGGCTAAATTATTGCAGCTTTCTCAGTCTTGCCTCACTTTTCAGACAGTCCAATCACCTTAGTAATCTCTGTGGCCCATGGCTGGACTATTCTGATATGTATGTCCATGCCTAATTTCTATGGGGGAGCCCAGAACCAGACACACATGTCCAGGTGCGGTTTCACCAGAGCTGAGTAGAGAGGAATAATTACCTCCTTTAATTTGCTGGTAACACTTTTCCTAATGCACCCCAGGAAGCTCTTGTGTGGTTCACTCTCTTTAGAAGATGTGCACAACCAAGAAGTTACCAGTATCTTGTACACAACAGCATCATATTCTTAAACAATAGAGAAGCCTGGTTGTGTTTCTTTCAATACCATGACTTTTCTTACCAGCATTCAGGAATTGGCAAGCAAGTAGTTGGACTGGTAGTCAAAATGGGTATTAATGATACTGATGTCATTACAGCACATAATAGCATGCCTATTAATGGAAATGTAGCTATTCAAAAGAAACAGCTGACAGATTCAAAGCCAGGGTGGTTAAAAAAAAAAAAAAGAGGGAAAAAAAAAACCCCAAAAAGGAGAAAATGTTTCCATAATAGCTAAAAGAATGATTTTTGTGTGATAATTTTGAGTTGCTTCGTGTCGACGGCCAGTTTTGTTTACTTGCCAGAAGTATCATGTATATAAATGATCATCTGCCAGAAGCATTTTGTGATGTATTATTATCATTAGTTTCCTGCCATATGTAACATTTGGGGAAAACAGCATGAAAAGGAAATTGCAGAATGCAATGCATTTTTAACAAAGACGTTTTTTCTCAGCATATGTCTCTTCTGACATTTGAGTTGTTTATCTTTTCTTGGCAGCAGAACTGTATTTCCAATCATCTTTTTTTGGGTTCTGTTTCTTTATTATTCTATTGTTTTCTTTTTTCTCTCCCTGCTTCCTTTAATATTCCATTCCTTTGGAATGATGTTCAGTCTATGCCATGGAAATCAATCGTAAGTCTCTGTGGAGAGCTGATTATCTCATTTAGCTGAATATGCTTATTTAATCTTTTTCTTGATTAGTTACTCATATTTTAATTACAGCACTCATACAATATTCAGGTGTGAATGTTGTTTTTCTACTGTAATAGTTTCATTTGAAAATAAGCAGAGGAAAAATATTTTAATACAAAATGCAGATCAGAAGTTTTAACTGAGTTTAAGTTGTTGCTAAGACTTGTTTCTAGTACACCATCAGTAAAATATTAGGTTTTTTTAAATCGTGATGCATAAGTGGCATTGTAGAATTAATTCCCTTTGATTACATAGATACAATATTATTGTGGTTTTGGCAGTATTTTCATTGGTACATTTGAATAAAATTAGGATTCACTTAACTTGCTTGCTATACTTTTCTTAGGAAAACAAGGGGGAAATGTAGGTCTGATGTTTGAAAAGCAAGTAAACTAAATGCTATTAATTGTAGTCCAAATAGCTCTTTGATACCTCAGTAAACAAGCTTAGTTTGTTTTCAGATATTTTGAAGTATTTTTCAAGTGAGATTGAAACATTGGGGTTTTTTGCAAAATGTTTAGAAATACTAGGTTTTCTATTCACATAAACTAAATAAATAAATAAATAAATAAATAAACTTTGCATTTGCTTAGATTACAGCTAAAGAACCTGAGGCTGACAAAAACTTTACCTGCTACTAAATGGCTCCAAAAGTTAGCCTTACATTTGAAATCAGATATATTGGCACTGCACTTACATACAGAACAAACTTGCTGCATTTACAGCTCCAAGGCATCTCTTACCCAAGACAACCTGTGTAATGTTAGAATTACTTTGGGCAATTATTTTTTATTGGTTTGGTCAATAGTCTCAATTTTTGTCCTATCCTCAGTAGTCTTGTTTTGCTGTTACTATATAATTTTCATTTTAGAATTTTATCTTTTTGGTAGCATTAACCTGCTGGCATCATTAACAGCCCCACACAGGTCAAGTAATAGTCTGGGATCTATCTAGGGAATCCAGTAAGGGGCAAAAGAGACATGGTTAGAGACAGAGGGGTTCATCCAGGGGACTGACATTGGTCCAAGGTCCATCCTGGAGGCAGGGGGAGACGTTGCTCAGGCAGGGACCAATTGTGCAGAGGGGATGTAGGTGTAAACCTCCAGTGAAGCTGCTCAGGGCCATTAAAATATACGTAAATACATAAATGTATAAAATAATATATATTGAATATATTTAATACACTGCATCCCCATAAATGTTGAATTTATGCTCAGCAATCTGGTACCACTAAGGCAATGCTTTTATCTCTTTGGCAAGTTAAGCTCACAAGCTAGGTTTAATAATTTGTTTGTAATTCCACTATTAATATGTATGTATACACATTTAGATCTGGTCTTTGACTGTTACTGTGAGAGAAAGAAAATCCATGTGAATAGAAAGCCATAATGTACAGTAAGGGGTTGCCTCTGTTCCTTAATATAGAATATGTAGCTAGAAGCAGAATTTGAAGTAGAAATTTTGCATACAAAAATGCATGTGCCATCATTAAATAAATGTGAGTAATATTTTTAAGTATTGGGCAATTTGTGAAAAATACCTTTCCCATTTTTCCTTCAGCTCCTTGCGGGGACAATCTTTATGATGACGATGGTAAACGCCTCCCTCCCTGCATCCCAGGGGCCTGGCTCACTCCTGCTATTATGGCCTGCTACCTTTTGGTAGCAAATATCCTGTTGGTAAACCTGCTGATTGCTGTCTTCAAGTATGTAAATGATCATTTATCTTTGTCTTATTGTCGAGATAAAGTTTCTGTTAGAGTCCATCAACTGATTCTGAAACGAATCAGAATTTTGTATTCACTCTCAGAATCTCATTATCCCATGGATGTAACTGGCAAATACTGGCAACAGGGTGTACTGTGGAGAAGAGTGAGGAAAGGTGGCTTTGAATTTGCCAACGATTGCAGCAATGTATGTAAGAGAATATGGCTACTTCAAATTACCCTCTAACGGATAGTGACAGGCATCAAGGTTGCTCTGGAAAGATGAGAAATAGGATCCATGAGACCTGGCACACACCTGACAGAAACCCATGTAGCCATTGGCAGTCAAAGCTCTGCAGGAGAACAGCAGAACAAAACTCTGAATGTCAAAAGCCCAAGGCATTTCCACTACATCATCTGGCTTTTTTTTAATCTTGTTTTGTTTTCCATTTAGAAAAAGAAATTAGGGCCTTGCAGAGTCCTTTTAGGACCCAAAAAAATCATGTGTTGCCTTGAACCAACAGGAAGGATGGCTGTGTGTTGCCAAGGTCTGTGGCCAATCCAAGCAGTGTGTAGTATGCACATATCTATATTTGGACTTATCTGGAGTAAAACTAAATGAATTTCTGTTGCTTATTCTTCCTAGCTGCACTTAGGTTGCATGATTTTCCTCTCAGGATGAAGGGATTAAAAGAAAAAAATAATTACTTGCTGATAATACTTTGTGAACAGAGCACCTGAGAAAAGCAGGTGATCCATTTTTGTTTCCTTCAAACATGTAGTTTTGGAGGACTTGTCAGCGTAGGTAGCCTGTGTCACAAATGCAAAAATAGTACTTTGTGTGCCCAGAAATCTGCAGCTCACAAAGCCTGTCTTTCATTTGATCTATGTAGCTTAAAAGGTCATGAATTTAAAGTACTCAAATGCCAGTCACATAGCTGGGGAGAAGGGGAAGAATCTTACAATGGTAGCTATTATTGGCTGAAGGACCAAGGAATCAGCAGTTTGGGAAGTAGGTCATGCTATTAACTCCTGCCATCCCAGCCTGCTTGCATAGGGTTGAGATCTGCCTGGGGAATTCCTGCCATAAAGGAGACAAGGAATGGAATGAAGGCAGATTGTTATTTATCATTGATCATAGTCTCCTGTATACTTAACCTAAAGAAAGCAAAAGCTATGGGTACACAGGCATTCTTTGGTTTTGAAGTGATGTTTTAATTTGTTTTATGAATGTAGATATTCTAAAGCACATAAAGTTAGGAAATAAATGGAGAGAAAACACAAAAAAGAAGCTGCAGTATCACCACCATCATAGAAGTGGAGTGAGCACTCTGAAGATACTTCAAAATAGCTTGGAAAGCCTTTTCTAAGACAGAATATCAAGTCTGCTTTCTCTTAGTTCATAACTGTGACTATTGTTTTATCTGGATTGACTACTATCACTTCATATCAACTAAATTTCAAAATTAAACATCTTTAAAACACACCTTACATTGCTGTAAAAATGATGAAGCTTCCAAAAATAAATCTTTTTACAAGAATATGCATCATGTTTCCAAATCAGAAATATGAGGGAGTAAAGTTTGAATTTAGGACATTCTGTGAAAACTTGAAAAGTCTTCTATGTAGGTCAAGCTGATTAGCATTTTAAAGGCAGACTATGTGAAGCTTCTGAGTTTAGCATACAAAATACTTTTCATGGATTTAATACTTTGTGTAGCATCAAATACTGGCATGTGTTAAAAGAAATAGTTTATAACCAAGCCCCAAAATGCCAATTATGTGATGCATAAATTGTGTGAGTTTCTTTTCACCGGCACTCAAGGGATTTGTACAGTAGGAGCAAATGGTCTGAGAGGCCTGTTCTGAGTGCTGCCTGAGGGATGCAGAGCACCTTCTGTTTTCTACCTTCAAAAGGAGCACCGAAATCATGAGTTCAATTTAATCCTGTTCAGTAGCACCAATAAAGAGCTGAACCAAGCAAATCGTGTGGCTCCATGAGGTTCTTTAGCTGCTGCTTTTTTCAACATAGTATTGTTCCATAAGTAAGATGAGGGACCTTGTAGCAACTGTACCTATGTTTCCTTTCAGCAATACCTTCTTTGAGGTAAAATCAATATCCAACCAAGTCTGGAAGTTCCAGCGGTACCAGCTGATCATGACATTCCATGACAGACCTGTCCTGCCACCACCAATGATTATCTTCAGCCACATCTACATAATCATCAAGCGGATCTGCTGCCGCTGCAAGAAGGGTGATGGAGACCAGGATGAGCGGGACAGGGGACTGAGTATGCAAGAAATCTTCTCTAAATTGAGCTCTTTGTACCATATTAGCAGAAAGCAGCAGCTTCTACAATGAACTGTTTTGTTCACCTTGACCATCTAGTGTATTTGCAGAAGACAGTATGGGCCAGTATTAGTATCAAGTGTTCTTGGGCTCTGTGGGTGCCTGAGAATTTGCAGCTCTCTGATGCTAATAAAGACCTCCTTTAAAATGCTTTCTTAAAACAGTGGGATGGTATCTACTCAGTCCAGGGGTTTACCAAGTTCTGGTGATGCCCATATGTTGGGAGGAGCAAATAGGAATCTCAGAAGAAGGGATCTCAGTTTCAATTGTCAGCTATAGTGTCAGCTCTGTGATTGTGAGCAATCTGTGACTGCACGTATCCCCACTATCATTTAGAGATTTATCTGTCATTTCACAGGGAAACCGGGAATTCTTCTCCTAACATACTCTGTAACTGTGAATTAGTATTTTCATTATATGCATCATGAAAATAATCAGAGGCTCACAACATCCCCGTTTCTACATTTCACAGGAAACATTTTTGCACAATAGGAAAAAGAAAAATGAAAAAAGGAAATGTAACACTCCTTCAAAACGCAAAGAGAGAAATCCAGATATAGGATGAATTGTTCCCAAAATCTTGTGCTTCCCCTGGATTTTTCTTATGCAATTGGAAATTTCTTAACTTTTTATCCAAAGAATATCTGTGAACAATCTGTTGCCTATAACTGGCATCCTTTTAAGAATAACACTTGAATGAATAAACAGTCAAACTGGCAGAGATTGCCCAGGTCTTTTTCTTGTAAAAACTGGTCAGTTTGTTCAATGCACAGCTGTTAAACAGTGCCAAAGTCATTCAGAACATTGAGCCCTCCCGTGGATGGCCATGGAAACAGATGATGGTCATAATGCATTCCACTGCCTTCACAGCTCCACCCATCCTTAGCTAAGTGCTCACTGCCTGTTTTAAAAAATCATCCCTTCATTTAGTGCAGGAGTAGAATCCTGCAGTATGTCCACATCCAAAATAAACTGATAATTTGGATTTAAATTGTCTGCTGGAAGTTCAGAAAAAGGAAACTCCTCTTCTGTTCTTCTCTTTTGCACAGAATTATTTCTGAATGATGAAGAGCTAAAAAAATTGTATGAGTTTGAAGAGCAGTGTGTAGAAGAATACTTCCAGGAGAAAGAGGATGAGCAGCAGTCATCTAATGATGAACGCATCAGAGTTACCTCTGAAAGGTACTATTGTAACAAAATAATCCACACCATTTGTCAGGAACAGTCTTTTTAATAGCTTCTTTATACCCACGGTTGAGTTAAAATACAAAAGATTTTGATCTTGAAGAAAACCACCACCAAGTCAGAAGCTGATCTGAAACCCAAATAACTATCTGAGCAGGTGCATCTCTTAAAAGAGCAAACTTCTTGTTATTCCTTCTGTTATGTCACTAAATCTGCTGGTTTGGGTAGCTTTGTTATGAAAACATCTTCGCTTATGATGAATTTTTTATCTCTTATCCATCTGAGAATCACAGTCATGCTTTTTATCCATTTGAGAAAACTGCTGCTTGTTGAGTTCCAGCAGTTCATCCAACCATGAGAAACATGTTGGAGCTTAATGACAAAAGCACTGAGGTTCTTCCCTTGGAACATTAGGGCCTGGGACTCACAACTGCTGAATTTTAATCTCTGCCACAGATTCTGTTGCAGGCTTTGAACAAGGCATTTAGCTTTTCAGTATGAACTTCCCTGTTTAAAAGATGGGGAATATTCACATGTAAATCATTATGCTTGTTCTGAGGACTAGGTAATGTTTGCAGGTTGCTGTGTAAGCACACAGTGCTAGTGGCAGCAGCCTTTTTACCAGGTCACTTGGCAGGACATTCTGTCAGTAGATTTAAGTAAGTCAAGAGATGGGGCCTTCTGTCACTTCCTTGAAATTAAAAAAATTCTCCCTGTAATGAAAATTATATGCATTTTAAATGCTCTTTCACCTTAATCTATCTCACAGTATTCTATTGATGAGGTACTCCACATACATATTTATCTATATATCTATATGCATCTTCATTTTAACAGTTGTTATTAATTATCTCTATGTAATTCTTTAATAAATCATAATTCTTTAATAAATAATAATTCTTTAATAAACTTCTTTCTCTTGAGAGAGGCCCTGAACATCTTACATTATTATATTTGAAATTTGAGAATAGAGAAGTAAACTAAACCTGCTACATCTATTCGAGTAGTTTCTATCACACTGGTTATCCCTGGCAATTTGTCAAAATCCTTGGTATTGTGGTAGAGAATAAAGCAGGGCTGATAAGCCTCACTGATTCACTATGGTCTATGGCCACAAAGCAGATTTGCTTATTTCTCATGGCTCCTTGCTCCAAATGCTTCGTCATCCTTTGTGTATGGGAGCAATAAAACACTAATTTAATTTCCACAGTAGATTTACTATTTTATGATCTCTAAGCCACATTCCAATTAATTACCTTTAAGTACATTTTTCTAGTACTACCACATCCATTATGATATAAATAAGAAGAAAATAAGAAAAAGTATTATTTTAATTGAACTAGATGATAGTTCCACTCCCTTCAGCTGATACAAAACAAAGTTATTTCAAGAGCTAAAGCAATCCCATCAACACCAGCATATGCTTCTCTCTCATACAGCTGCAGAACCTGTTTTACAGCATGCTTTGATGCTATTTTAAGTCACCCTGTGAGCATGTCATTAGAAAGTACTTTTCATGTAATTAATTTGATTCTTCACAGTGAAAGAGAACAACTGAGCACACAGTGGGTGGCATACACAGAAATGTTAACAGTAGTCTGTCCCTAAGGGCTCTTCTACCATGAATATAAGGGCAAAGTTCAAATACCCCTCTAATATGGTGTACAGAAAGCATAGATAACAAGAAAATGCTCGTGCTTTTGTTGCTACACATTGGAAAAAAAGAACAAGGCATGATACACCACAAAATTCTGCCTTAGGAAGAAATCAGGAGCTGGGTGCCTCTAATGGGTTACTGGACCATTCTACAGGTTCTGTTCTCTGCTTCCTTTTTTATACTCCACAGAGTTGAAAATATGTCTATGAGGCTGGAAGAAGTGAATGAAAGAGAACATTTTATGAAAGCTTCTCTCCAGACAGTCGACCTCCGGCTCTCTCAGCTGGAAGAGCTCTCTGGTCGGATGGTGAATGCTCTGGAGAAGCTGGCAGGCATCGACAAATCCGAGCTGACGTACACACGCTCACGGGCTTCGTCAGAGTGTGACGCTGCTTATCTCCTGAGGCAGAGCAGTGTGAATAGCTCTGATGGCTACAGCATGTACAAATACCACATCAGTGGCGATGAGCTGACCTATGATGACAGCACCACGCCTATGTCACCAGCCATGCGTAAAAAAGCCCACTCTATTGGTACCAAAGAAGATGGAGCAGACCCAAGGATGCTGGTTCCAGAACACCAAACTGGGCTCCATACCTCGAGTGCTAATGCAGTCACTACAGCAGATCACAGTAAATCCACATTAGAAATTGCACAGAATGTTTCCAGACCTCATTCTGATTCAGGCGGTTTGGGGAGTGAGAAGCAGGGGGTTTTCAGTAGTGATGGAATGATTCCTCAAAGTGTAAACCAGATGAATGCTGTTACAAACAGTCAGTCAGTAGCAGGGACAGATTTTCAGAACACTCAGTTAAAAGTAGAACGTACCAAGTTAGAAGCAACTATCTCTTATCCCTTGGACAAATCCAAAGCAATGCGCTATTTTCCTCCTGAAACTTTCAGTGCTTGTCAAACCACTATGATGAAGTCAAGGAGCTTTATATTTGCACAAGGTGGAAAGCTGGTTGGAGGAGTTAACAACTGGACCTCGGAATATAGTACCATTATGGATCAGGTGTGCCCTTCTACAATTGAACAGTGGGCCACTGAGTGGAAATACGAAGTTGAGCAGCAGCTTTCTCAAGAGCGTCCTCCAGAATACCCCGGGCTGATTTCTGAAGCAGAAAGGCAAGCAGAGGAGAAGCAGATGGACACAGATGATGATAGTAATGTTGGTGAAGCAGGTATGAGTGCCTCTTACACCTCTATGCCTGCCACTGTCAAGGCTGAGAAGGAGAATTTACTGTCAGTAAAGCCAGAAAGGACTTCTGGGTTCCCATCAGTACGCTCCAAGAGCTTGCACAGCCATTCCCGGAAAGCCAAGTCTGTGAAGGACAAATTAAATAGACCAGGACATGCCAGCAGTGTAACTAATTTGGTGGTAGCATTTGGCAGTGCGACAGAGGAACAGAAAACCAGGCAAGAAAATGCATCCACAGAAACTGAATGTTAAAGTGGCTTATGGCCCCTGTTTTACCAATAGTCGAGAAAGCAGTGACTAATTGAACAAATTAGCCATTTTAAAATTAATTTCTAAAGAAGAATTTTGAATATATGTATTTATTTTAAACTTAATAGATACATGTTCTGTTCTTAAATAAATGCTTGCTGGGTTGGGTGAAAGGGAGATGTTCTCTCAGGGGCAGATAAAAAGTAGGTATGGTTCACAGATGCCGACCATATAGCTCTTCCTTTATTCCATTTCAGCCTCCCTCATAAGCTCATTTACTAACAAGCTCTTTATAAAAGCTCTTAGAGGAAGAGCAATATTATAATGTAAAGGTTATCAGAAGATTTCTCAAACAGAACAATTTTTAACCAGCCTTAGTTCTATCTTTACTTATGCAGCTGGTTTCTTTGTGGCCATGGTGTTTTTCAGATCAAAACAAAATTGTTGGAGGCAAGGAAAAATTATGCAGTCCCCTCTTTCACTTCTGATTTCATGCATGCTGCTTAGCTTCTCTTTTTCAGAATGGCATGACATAGCAGTTTTCATCCACTAAAATAGGTCAGAGTGGTAAAATACAGTTGTGTTTGGAGAAAGCTGACCTGGAAAGCCACGTGCAGACATATACTTAATCTGTCCTTGAACTTCAGTGGCATCATTTTGCTTTCAGGATCACATCTGTCCCCAACCCAAAGCATGCTGACAGCCTTAAACTGTTGAAAAACAGTGATCATTGTTTCAAAATGCTTTGGGAGATCTTAATAATAGAAATCCAGGATCTGCATTAGTGTTTTGTATAAATGAGGATTACAACAGAAGTCCTTGTAGACTTAGGATAAGATTCTGACTTCTTTTAGATGCCTGCAAGGGAAACAAAACAGAACAGGAAAGGTGTTCTAATCAGGTGAGATCAAAATACACCCGATCTTTGCTTGAAGCAAATATACTGTGACAAATTCATCTTCCATTTTGCAATTTCATTATGACACAAGAGGAAAAAGGAACAGTTTCTAAGTCTGTCTAAACAAAATATAGATTTTCCAGGTGAGAATAGAAATTCTGTATATTTTCTTGGGTAAATTTCAAAAACAAATGTCAAAGGATAAAAAAGTCTCTACAGCAAAAGTGTTTTGAGGAGTAAGAGTGGAAATCAACACCCATAGTTAGATGTTTCCAGAGCAATTGTCTCTGCAGTGGCATTCTAAGTAATGAGTTTTGATAGTTTTCTTCATAAGAGCAGGATGTTATTCGCATCATTCCTCCCTGTTAAGTTTTAGGAACTTTGATTTCCCAAATATTCAGCACCTCTCTTTGCAGGGGATGCTTACCACTGAGCAGGTAATTTTGAAAATGAGTTAAAGGCATGTTACTTGTTCACAGAATACTGCTCAAAGGTTTATGCTTAACTCATTACCCATCAGGACTCATTCATATGCTATTTTGAAAAGATCTCATTTCTTTTTTCACTCACCATCAGTCCCACAGGCAGGTCTCAATGTCCTCCTTGACAATGATGCTTACAGCATTTTGAAATGCAGAGATTGATGGAAGACTCTACAAATGCATTAATGGTATCTGATTTGTATTGTTTGCATTATATTTTCATACTCCATCCATACTTATACTCTGAAGTACTGTTACCAAATTGAATGATTGTGGAAAGTGCATAGACATTTCACAAAGTTCAGTCATCATTTCTTTTGGATTTTTACTATCTTGGTTCTAAGCAGCAGGTTTACTGATTTCACTGCTGTTGGAACACTGTTGACATTTTGCTTTTTATGTGGGCTTCTCTTTTCTTCAATTTTAGGGAACTTGACATTTTGTAAGAACAGAATGACATTTGAAATTATTTCACTTCCATGTTTACTTCTGTGTTACCATTCTGTGCAACTACATAGCCATTGTGTATATGTGGTTAAAATAGCCTCCAGTTTGCCAATGCCTTTTTATTGTTTGCCTGCACATTCACCAGAAATGGATTCATTAACAAACACAAAGGGATGCAGCTTTTCAGCACTGTGCTAAACAAGCAGTATGCATTGTGGAATGGAATACAGTGTGTTGCATACCTCTTGTAACATTGTCTTTATAACATGTGTGTTAATCATGCTTTTGACCAATTAATTTTTTAGCATTTACATTGAAAATTTATCTGATAGCATGTAGATTTCAAACGAAAATATTTTTCCTTTGTATTTATATACTTCCTTTGTGTAAAAATATTTATAAAGAAACACATGAAAAATACGGCAAATTAATTCAATATACCTTTTTTTTTTCTTTATAATGTCAAAACACTTCCCTAATCTGTTTCTTCTTATGCAGTGCATGGGCCAAACATTTTCTAAGCAAAGTTTCTTTCTTAACACTTGCCAGTAATTTTTCATAAAATTTTCTATATAGGGATGATTTTAAGAGGTTTGGATTTTTCCTGTGCTCTCACACAGCATGAACTGAATGACAAGCTCTCTGCCATTTCCTGTGAAGTGATCACACTGGCTTTGGCAGAGTCATTTTAGACATAGAGCCATTTAAATAAGATTTAAACATGGTTTTGTATGTGCATAGAAGACAAATAATAGATTTGGAGCTCATTAAGCAGAATAATGACCAACACATTTGCATATCTGCCTCCATGCTTTCTTGAATACTGGCTGAAAGGATGCAGGCAGCGAATTTGCATTTCTGAAGAGGCATGTTTAATACTGCTTTTCAGGAAGATGTGTCCCACTTCACTGCTAAGCATGTGGTGACTTCACAGCTATGTCACTGTGAATTCCATTGTCCTGATTTATTATGTGCTTGACCTATAGTGAAGCAGGTCAAGCTGAAAGGGTGTGTACTCCAGGGCTATGTCTATGCAGAGATACTACTCTGAGGTAATTTAAATTTGTTCATCTTATAGTGTCTTGCAATACAGACTTTTCCCTTTCCCTTGAGGCAAATGTTTTCAACACAGTGATTAATGGTCATATTTGCAAAGGCAGGTTCATGACTCTACCACCTGATTCCATGAATTACCCCTTTTTACATTGCATCATTCAGGGACTAGCTTAGCTTTGTCCTCACAAGTCTCTCCTGTTGCAGAGTCACTCTATCCATTTTAGAAGCTGGATTTTGATACCTGAGAATCAAGAAAGTCCATTTTCCATATTATTTACTAATTCATTAAAGTAGCCACTGAAACCTTCCAACTATGGTTTCTCCATGCTGCTTATTTGGATACTTTCCAAGGTTCTGTGCTTGACTATCATCTTTGGCAAAATATTTATCTGTTCTTCTAAATAAAAATAAAAAGAACACATCTTCAAGGCCTTGTCAGGAAACAGGAACATGAGGAAGGTGCATGACCAAGAGTGTTAACAGGAACATTTCATTATCTCTGATGAATGACAGGACTGTGCCCTGTTACAGGTGTTCTGGGCTGACACAAAGCCAGTGTGCTGCTGGAGCCCTTTATGTGGAGCAGGTGAGTTTTCCAAATGACAGTTGCCCTTGGTTGGACAGTGCTGGGGTCCCACAGATGCTTCTGCAGTACTGTCCTGTCCAGCAGGTCACTTCTGCCTGAATTAGTGTGCATTCAAAAGCTGTTGGGAGCCTTGAGTGTAAAGGTGAGAATTTATTGTTAGTGTAAAAAGTTTTAACAGTCTAATATAAGAATTGTTATTAGTTTTGATCTATCTAATTAGAGAAGAGACAAGAACAGAGAACAGAAAAGAATACTACTATGCTACTAATGGAAAAACAGAAAAAGCTAAAGTTATTCCATGCATACTTCCTACTATCTACACCTTATTTTGATGTTTATTGGCACCAGGTCTGATCCTCTGGGTCTAATGGTCAGTGGCTACAGTGAGGATAGTGAGGACATACTGCCAGCTGTCAGCATCCCAGGTCCTTTGTAGAGCATGATGTTCATGTTGTTTCTTTGTCCTTATTTTTTGCTAATTTAGGGGCATTTTTATGTGAGCTGCATAGTTATATCTTGTTTTTCATCACTGGCCTTTAAATCCTACAAATAAAAAAATCCTCATGATTAGAAAAATTGGTTTCACAGCTAAACAAATGAGGGACAGCTTGAAGGAGGTTAAGGCAAGTTCAGACAAAGCAGTCCTGTCAAGCCTCAGTCCTGAGGCCTTACAAAGTCAGCATAAGGCCTGAGGTCTGTTACTAGCAGTGACAAATAGCCTCTGCTTGCTGGGTTGTGAGGCTACATCAGCCCTAGGGATGTTTTCTTCTCACTCCAACCATTACAGATAAATACTCTATCACATGCAGCAGTCACCTAAGCTGAAAATTCAGCCAAATTGTGGATTTTGATCCCCTATTGTGATCCAGCATCAGACAGGAAGGCAAAAGCAATGTAAGGACCTGGCTGATGTGGCCATTTAAAGACCATTTCAAATGGTGCCAGGCATGGGGGTTTGGGGTAGTCATAAAACAGTATCCAGCAGTACTTTGCATTGTAGGCTGACAAATCACAAGCCTTGGGAGAAGTGAGACAAAGAGTACACATTTTCTTAAAACTGCAATTTTATTTTGCTTTTTTCAACTTTTAGCTTGATCTTCAGAGTTTCATATGGCAAAGTGGTACTTTATGGTTGATGCCCTCTATCTTTACAATGGATATAAGGTATGTCTTCATAACAGGCTTTAAATGATTCTTTGCAGATGTTCACCTGAAATAGTTAAGTGCTGGTATGCACCTAGTGCTTGGTGTTGGAGTAATGAAAAAGAGGGTGTATTATTTTATGTGCCTGCTCCTCTTTTGTCTCTGCAACACAAAACCCCCAATAAAACCACAGTGCTTCATCCTTCATGACTCTAAATGCGAGCATCTCCCTTTGCTTGTCCTAACTGGATTGCTGTGCTCAGCAAGCTATCACCTGAGCAAACCAACAGCCTTCAAAAAGGGCCATGGAAAAGGATTAGATTCTAGTTTAGAAAAACCATTAATCCAATAGTCACTATCAGAATATCTGTGTGAAATAGTCCAAGCCAAGGTACAACACTGTGCCATGAATAGCATGAATAGAATACCCAATAACTCCAGGCAAGTAATACCTACACAATGATTAACAAGGAAAGTACCCTTACCTGACATAGCAATGTTCCATATCATTACACCTCCATGCAAAGAAGACAGCCTCCACTTCACAGGATGTGCCCTGCAAAGGAGGCTTTTTTCCTGATATACCTCAACAAACTAAAATCTCTGCATAGTTTTTATGTCTTTTGTATATATTTGGCCAAGACTGTCAAAGTTACTGTGTTATGTAAGTAAGCACATTTTAAATATTCTTCTCCTAGATCTTCATCAAGGACATTCAGGAATGACTGGGTTATTTTTTTTACCAACTGCTTAATAAACTTAAGGCATTATGTTTTTATTCTGTAAGAGCTAATACAGATCTGTAGGGCTGGCTCCCCCACAGGTCCCCAGTCAGACTCCCGCACTTCTGAGTGCAGGCTGAGGCAACTTGGGTTCACAAACTATTGAGTGCACAAGTAGACAGCTGTCCAGGTAAAGTAATAAACTGTACCACTTTCAGTGAAAGATAGAACTGACTTTCATCAGTGAATCCCTGACTTCACAGACTTGCCGCACATTTGCTATAGCTCTGGGCACATAGCTCAGCTGTGAAATCAGACAACACTTGTGTCTTTCTGTCTTGGAGTTCAAACCAGTAATTGAACCAGTCTTCAGAGAGCTATGAAAACATTTAAGTTGCCATAGAAATACAGGCCTGGAAGAGATCATCTGCACTAGGCAAGTTCAGCTATGTCAATAGCATCAGTGGCAGATGGTGGTCTAACCTGTTCTTGAACATGTCTAATGAAAGCCATCCTCTAATCTGCTGAGAGATCAAAAGGGACCATTGTGAAAATCTGTTCTGACTTAACCCCAGCCCTCATGCATTGCACAAGCCAAAGCACTTCCCCAGCCACAGAGCTGCCTTGGGAGGTTGCACCAAAACTTTTCAGAAGGTGCCTAATCTGAGTGTGCACTGCACACAGCAGGTTATACAGCCCAGCCATAGCTAACAGATAATTACCTGCACTGTCACAAATGAGCCCCAGGAGACAACCACACAGTGTTGGGGCTCATGCCATTGGGACAGCAGGCCAGGCTGCTTCTCAGAGAGACTGGCCAAGTGAAAGGGTCCTGCTCAGGCTAGCACACGGGAGATACCACTGAACAACAAGGTACAGGCAAGGAAGATAACTGTGTTGAGTAAAAAAAAATAATATTTTAAGTAATGAGAGTAACACCAGACATAGTCTTTTCAGTTCAGCTGTCTGTTGCATAGCTGTCTTCCCACCATTATTTCAAGACTGATCTCATAGAACAACATTCTCAAAAATCTCAGATTTAGCAGGACTGTTTGAAGAAAGTGAGTGAGTGAGGAAGAGCTGGGATGGCCAGAGATGGGCAGACAGTTGAGTTCATTGCCATAAAGAATCCAGAGGATTTCTCTCCCTGTCCTGCTTGCCCTTTTGCCTTGTCTGCCCTGCCCTGCCTGCCTACCTTGCTCTACTTGCCTGTCCTGTTCTGCCTGCCTGCATCTCATTGCAAGTTGTGACAATTATCTTGCTTCTTCAAAGTACTCAATTCTGCCAAAACAGTCTTTTTCTCCTACTACATAGGACTCTTCCAGTAGAAACTTGTAGCCAGTTCCAGTAACAATCCTCACAAATCTTGTGAGAGCTTAGTTTTGATTTTGTTTGCTCATTTTCAGAACAGCACCACAATTTCAATGTGTCAGGGAGTCCTTAATGGAAGTTTTTGCTATCCTGTAATCATTCTCTCATGAGTAAGATTGCTTTTGCAGTTACTCCTAAAAAGTCTCTGTGCTGATGCAGAAACACTCTTGTAATTCTGATGTGGTGTAAATAATCATAAATTTTAATACCACTGACAAATTCATTATGTGCAATTTCAAGTCTGGGCAATTTCTGCCTTCCTTATCCTCTCATTTTCTCTTCCCCCCTTTTTGAATTAAATTCCCTTTCACCCGTGTTCTGAATATGAAAAAAAAAAAAAACAACTTTACAGAAGGATAAAGACAAGGGCTGTCCCACAGTATTTCTCACTTATCAAACATCCAAAGGATTTTGGTTATGAAAGGGGTGAGAGGAACTGTGGTTTGCTCTCACAGCACTCAACTTTACACCATCAGCAGCATCTGCAGCACAGTGCACTCCCTAAAATGGACTGGGGCATGAGATCATGCCAGGCTGAATAATCCCACTTAGACAACGATGTTTGCAGCATAAAATAAAAGTATAGGTGAAAATAGAGGATAAAGTGAAAGGCATTGTCTGCCAACAGCAATAAGTTGGGACCTTTGTGCAAGGAGGTATACTTGTTTTGAAAAGTACACTGAGATTGATTTTATCTTCTCTATCTACAAGTCCAAGAGCAGGGTGCTCCTTCCTGGGCTGTTGAAAGGCATTAAATGTATGCACGTGAGCTTTCCTCAGTCTAGGCAGGTGCCAGTGAATTGTTTCCCTCATCACTGTTCAATCCAACCTTTCTGCTGCAACCAGTGGGGCATCTCCTCTAAATTGTGGAATCCACATTGTACCCTAAAGCCTGTTCTTTCATTGAACACACACCCTCAGACTTCACAAAAAATCCCAGGGTCTTTAATGCAATTTAATATACTTTAATGCAATGTAATATACTTTCTATTAATGAGGGAAGATCTTGATCTTGCAGCTGATGTTGAGTGCTGCATGTGTCATTTTGCATCTGGAAATGTGTCCATTTTTCTGGAGTCTTCACCACTATGCTGTAGCAGGTGTTTACTAATGTTACCTTGCACATGAGCTCTTCCATTTTCATGACAGTATGCTGACCAAAATCATGCCTTTTAATATGGTGAGGCTGCAAAACACCAACAGTTTGCCAGGTCCTGGCCTTCAACTGTCACTTCTAAACCATGGTCCTTGCTGTGAACTCTGCTTGGCTCATAGCTGGAACCAGGACTGTGGTGAACCAGCAGCCAGGGGCCAGCCCTTCTTACCCTACTGAACACATCAGTACTGGCTCCAAAATCTGGAGACCTGGTGGTTTGACCCAGTTCCCTTGTGACTGGCTCACCAGAAGGAGAACTCAGACTCTCCCCCTTAGATCTCACAGCTGACACACCATGTATTCCTGATCTAGGGTTCTCCATTATACCACATTTCCACCCAAACTTTTGCTTAATGTAGGAGATATTTCCACTGTGGGGACCAAGTTCAGAGCAGTCATACAGACCTTCACGGATGCTGTAGGCCACTAAGCAAACGTGAGCAGTTACTCAGTTTCCTACTTAAAAGAAATATCAGGGATGTATTTTGGCAGTTTAGATAGGTGCCTGTGTTATTTCCATGTCCTGGAGAAACTCAGGTGAGCAACACACGAGTGCCTGGAAAGCTTACATGGATCAACATGCAGCTCCCACAGTCAGCAGGGCTGCAGAGTGGGAGGGTGACTGCAGCAGCTTCCTGGGGCGTCACGCAGCCATCATAGAATCACACAGAGGATGCTGAGTTGGAAGGGACCCACAAGGATCACAGAGTCCAGCTCCTGGTCCTGCACAGAACTATCCCCAAGAGTCACACCATGTGCCTGAGAGGGTTGTGTACACCCCACAGGTATAATGTATACACACCGTGTGTAAAGGGTGACAGGAGAAGAACTCCACAGCAGTAAGTGATTCACAGAATCACAGAAGAACTCCACAGCAGTAAGTGATTCGCAGAATCACAGACTGTCAAGGGGTTGGGATGGAGCACAGATCATCCAGTCCAAAACCCTGCCATGGGCAGGGGCACCTTGCACTAGAACAGGTTGCTCAAGGCCTTACAGCACCTGGCTGTGAACACTGCCACGACCTCCTGGGCAGCCTGTGCCAGTGTCTCACCACCCTCTCTCTCCACCATGCTGGAGCTGGATTTTACCTCTGGCTTAGGAGACAGCCGTGGGTAGCATTAACTCCTGCAGGCCCCCGAACGGGGGTTACAGTTCCCACGGGGCTCTGAGGCCAAACTGTGGCAATCCTGTGCCTCGGTAGCCGG